AGTGTTTCCAAAATCAATCAAGAAAGCCTGTATTTTCCTTATATGAAGTCTGTATTTTGCTTATATCAAAATCATATAAGCAAAAGAAGAAAACTACAGACCAAGATCCTTGATAAACCTGGGTGCAAAAATCTTCAATAAGATTCAAACAGAATTCAAAACACATTAAAAAGATCATATGCCATAACAAAGTTGGTTTCATTCCAGGGATGTTTCAATATATCTAAAACAATCAGTGTAATATATCACATAAATATGTCAAAGGTATAAATTACATAATCATCTCAATAAATACTGAAAAAGTCACTGATAAAAAAATCTAACTTTTTCCTAATAAAAAGCCCAAAGAAAATGCGTATAGAATTATTTTTCTGCAAAATAATAAAAGCTGTATATCAGAAGTCTACAGAAAACAACATCTTGAATGGAGAAAAAAAAATGAAAGTATTTTCTGTACAACCAGGAATCAGTAAAGTGTATTTGATCTCATAAATATTCACTGTAAACATGAAATTATACCCCAAGCAAGTGTGCAAAAGAAATAAACTAAACAGATACAAATAGTAAAAGAAGTAAAATTATCCTTGCTTGCAGAGATGATCTTTTAACTAAAGAATGCTAAAAAATCTACCAAAGACTTTTAGATCTGACATAAGAATTCAAGCAAAGTGCAGGATACAAAACTGATACCAAGAAGTCAACAATTTTTTGTACACTATTAGTGAGTCTGATGAGCAAGAAATCAGGAAAACAACTTCATGCACGGTAGTTTCATAAACAAACAAAATACCTAGAATTAAACTACACGAGGAAGTAAAAAGCTCTACAATAAAAATTACAAATTATTAGTAAAATAAATTGAAGAAAATGTTAGAAAATGGAAAGACCGCCATTGTTCATAGTTGGTAAGTACAATACTGTTAAAATAACCACATTATCAAAAGAAATGAGTCAATGAAATTCCCATCATATCACATTCTTCACAGAACTAGGAAAATAACTCTCAAGTTCATATGAAATCACAAAAGACCCAGTAGCCAAATTAGTCCTGAGCAGGGGAGGACGCAGTACTGTGTCACCTTACTTGATTAAAAATATATTGCTGTCAACAGCAGCATAGACAACGTGCTGCTGACACAGAAACTTTCAGAACAGGGAACATGGCAGAAGGCATAAAAACAAACCTATGCCACAAAAGCAAATCAATGCCAGACACTATTCTAGTATGAATTTTGACAAAGGTGCCAAAAACATATTAGAGAAAAAACACCCTGTTTAACAAATGGTGCTGGTGAAACTGGATATCCATATGCAAACTATTGAAAGTAGATCCCGGTCTTGTACTAAAATCAATTCAAAATAAATCAAAGACATGGGTACAACATCTGAAGCATTTAACTGCTAGAAGGAAACATAGATAGATTCAGGCACAGTGGTGCACCCTGTAATTCCAGCACTCGGGAGGCTGAACTTGCTCGGGTGCAAGTTCAAGACCAGCTGGGGTACACCGTGAGTTCAAAGCCAGCCTGAACTACATGGCAAGATCCTGCTTCAAAAAAATAAAAAAATCAAACCAAACAAACAACAAAAGGAAAACAAGCAAAAACCAAAAAACAACAAAAAGAGAAGAAAATATAAGGGAAACACTTAAAAGCCTTACTCACAGGAAAGGCTTCCTGAAAAGCACTCAGGTAACAAGAAAACAATAGCAAAAATAAATTAAAAACAATCTGTATGGTAAAAGAAATAAAAGTGAAGACATAGCCTTCATTAAATAAAAGAAAATTTTGATAACTATACATCCAACAGAAGAATAACATTGAAACTATATATATATATACATCAAAGAACAGCAAAAAAATCAAGTAGGCCACTCAGTAATTGCACAAATAAATAGATAATTTTTTAAAAGTAGAAGCACAGCTGGCCAATTATGATATGAGAAAAATTCAACATTTTCTTTTGCCATTAGGAAATGCAGATCAAAACTACTCTGAGATTTCATTTCACCTCCATTAGACTGTCTATCATCAAGAATCCATGAGACAAATGCTGGTGAGGAGCAGAGTGAAACGGAATCCCAATCATTATGGCTTTAATCTAGATGTTCCCCAAAGCCTCATGAGGTTATAGGTGGAGCTTTCACGGAGTGGCTGGGTCTAGGGTGTGTGACGGTGGGAACAACATGAGAAGCCGTGGTTAGTGGTGTGATGCTGAATTAGAGTGCCCCACCTGAGGCTATCTGCCCTAAGGCCGGTATCCTGGATGGAACAGAAGGTACAGAAAGAGGGCTACTGCCATAGCTTGCTACTTTATGCCACCCCTCCCTTGCCACGGACTGCTGCTTTTATTCCTCGGCTGTGCCCACCTGTCTTGAAGGCAGTCAGCTATGGACTGAAACTTCCACAAACTGTGAGCTACAGCAAATCTTTCCTCCTTTCACTTTGAGTATTGAATATTTTGCCTCCCTCATGAGAAAAGGAACTAAGACAGTAATCTAGTACATCCATTATGGACATCAGTTTAGAAGTCTCTCAAAAAACTAAACATAGATAGACCATTGTTCCAACCGAACCTCTCCTCTCTATATTTCCAAAAGAATTAAATACAACTTATTAGAGTGAAACCTGCACACCTGTGTTCATTGCAACACAAGTAACAATGGCAAAGCTGTGGAAATAGGCTAGATGTTTATCAACAGATGAATGGATTAAGGAATTGTGGTATATATACCCACAGTAAGGTTTTATTCAAGCATGAAGAAGATGGAAACCATGTCATTTTCAGGAAAATGGGTAGAACTGGAGGCCATCTTGTTAAGTAAAATAAGTCAAGCTCACAAAGTTAAAAATAACAGGTTTTATTTTATATGGAGTGTCTATGAAAAAGGTATGTGTGAGGGAACTGACAGGTTTATAGAATTTAGTCTACTAGAGATAAGTAAGTGATGAACAGAAAAAGAGGTGAGAGGTAGGGAGAGGGAACAAGGCGGAGGAAATAATCACAGTGTATCATATACATGCACTAATATACCAAAAGAAAATCTATTATTCTGCATTACTAATTTGCACTAATTAGATTAGATTAAATTTAGAAACCCCTGGGGTAAATACAAGTGATCCACATAAGTAACTGGACACTGGAAGGGAGACAGTGATAGAAATAGTTTAAGAAGCAATGATCAATATTTTTAAAAATTTGGTTTAAACTATGTATTTAGAACTCTAAGAATTCAATCAACTGCAGCAAGGAAAGATAAAGAAAACCATGGTACATTTATTACTAAGTTTCTTAAGACAGATGATTAAGAAAAAAGGTGAATAAAAAGTTTTACATACAAAAGGACAAAAGAAAGGATTACAGTAGATTTCTTGTTAGAAGTAATGCAACATAATGATAGCAGAGTAAGATTTCCTTTTTTTAAAAAAGTTATTTTATTTTTAAAAAGGGGTAAAACTAAACATAACAAAACAGAACAAAGCAGATCAGAAATAAACAATGTAAGTGATACAGATTTCAAAACAAGACAACAGGAGATCTATAGTGGCTACCATAATGTCCCTTGTTTTCTTCTAAATGGTTGTCTATATCTTCATATACAATGAATTCATTCAAAACAAAATAGTATAAAACTGATAAGAACACGGTAATGAAGGCATTACAGGCCTTCAAAACCAGACAATATGAAAATTAAAAATGGCTGCCATAATGTCTCTTGTTCTCTTCAAAATAGCTGTCCATACCTTCATTTATGTTGAAGTTAAACAATACAAAACAGATTAAAACCACTCTAAACAAAGAATAGAAGCATTATTGGATTTCATGGCATGATGATATGAAATCAGCAATGGATACCGTAATGTCTGTTCTTCTTCAAAATAACTGTTCATTTCATCACACATAATAAACTGTTTAGGAGAAGTTCTAGGCATGTATAAGGCTCTACATGTATACCTATCTTTTCTGCATTAGAGCGGAAAACAAAATAGATTACTAGAAAAACAAAAAAGACAAAAAAATAACAATAGCAAAGAGCCCAAAACAATGATACAGGCCTTCAAAACATGGTGGTAGGAACAGAACTAAGGTTGGTATTTTACATAGTGATCTTCAAGTTCTCCTCAGGTCACCTGACATAAACATGCAAAATTGTTCAATCTTATGAATATTAACTGCTTTGTTCTACGAACTTATAGAATTTGTAGCACAGTCATCTTAGCTATCCTCCTAAGTGTGTTTATACAAATTTAGATATTTTTTCTTTTCCCTTCCTTTTTTTCCCTGAGATATTATTTTTTCTCTTTAAGCAGATTCTGATCACTTCACTGTATTTATTGAGGATTTTGTATCTTATCTACTCTTACATTTCTTACACTAAGGAGACAATACAGTATTTACTCATGTGAATTTGACTTATTTCACTTATGAATATGCTCTCAAGTTGCATCCACTTATAAATATTTCAATGTGATCATTCTTTACAGCTGAATAATACTCCATTGTATAAAAGTACCACATCTTTTTTTATCCATTTCTCAGTTGATGGGCATTTAGCTGGCTATTACAAACTGTGCTGCTATAAACCTGGGTGCACATATATCACTGTGATATGATGCTTTCAGTCCTTCTGGGAATTTGCCTAAAAGTGAAATAGCTGGGTCAAATGGAACTTCCAACTCAGCTTTTTGAGGAACCTCCAAACTGATCTACACAGTGGTTACAGCAGTCTGCACTCCCACCAACAGTGCAGAAGAGCTCCTTTTCCCCCGTAGCTTCTCCAGCATTTGTTGTTGGTATTTTTCTTTATCCTGGCTATTAAGATTTTCAAGTTGGAAAAAAAAAACCCACTACACAAAATTCTATATCTAACATAAATATTGCCTTTCAAATTAAGGTGAATTTTTCAGAAACTGAAAACAAATTAAAGATAAAACTCTTAAACAAGGTCTTTCAATTGAAATGTGCACAAATAAAAAAATAATAAACTTTCAGATATTTACCTGTGTATAATGGCCACAAATATTAGAACACGATAGATTATTAAAATCAAAGTGTTGAGATTCATTATACCATTTAGTAATCGCATATTTTGGAGTAAATAGTGCCAATCCACCTAACCAAAGATTTTCTCCAATATGTGCAAAATCTCGGTAGCATTGATAGGGTATTTTTAAACATTTATTATGTTCAAATCTGCATTGTTTTGCCCATGCTTCAGCCACCTTTGCTAAACCATGATCCCAACTCTGAAAAATACAATAAAAAATAAAAGTTTTCATATTCAATTATATCAAAATCATTCTAATTACTATACTCAATTGTTTTAGATTATTAATTTAATAAATACAGTTTTGTTATGTTCATGGTGATTTAAATTTCTTTATATTTAAATATATACACTATTCATTTATGACAGTTCATTTTTCTATTGGCAGTACATAGTAGATGGTCTGGTACATTGTGGGCACTCAACAAATACTCTGAATGTGAATAAAAGAAGGCAGAAGAAATCTAGTAATTCAGAGCTCAGCAAATTTATTATAAAAAGTACTCATTGATTGTTCTTTTTATTAACACACATTAGTAATCTTAAATTTTTCCATTTTTACTAGTTTTTTTTTGCCTAGGATGTAAACCTTTTTCTGTCTCCCATCTTTTGTGCTTACAGCCCTGTGTTTTGAGTTTTTAAGAGACAGTTTGATGAATGATGAAAGAGAAAAAAAAGGAATGGTGACTGTGAAAAACAATGGAAATATTGAAACATGGAGTCTACTCTACAAGGTGAAGAAAAGACCAGAGGGAAATGTTTTTTGGGGGAGAGGTCAGTGATTATATAAAACTGTGCTTCATAGCAGCTGACGTACTTCTTACGACATTGCCCTGTCATTAGCTATTTGCTTGTCTTTCTCTTCTCTATTGTTAATCTTTCTAAAATTTCTATTTTATTAACATGTGTTTATTTCAAAGTTAATGAAATTTATATCCACAAAGTGCTTGAATAAAAGTGTAAGTACTTGTTTTGTGTCCTACTCTATGTGTGTGTGTTGTTAGGAATTGAACCCAGGACTTTTGCATTGGATTAATCCCTACGTCTTTAAAACAATGTTTTGTTTTGAGACAAGTTCTCTCTAACTTGCCAGTCGTGTGATTCTCCTTCTTCATCCTCCCAATTGCTGAGATTATAGGCATACATCACCATGTGCAGCTGTTTTTGTTCATCTTTGTAGTTTGATGTTTTACTGCATTAATAGAATTTGATTTTTTCTTTTCTCTTTTGTATAAATACAATGTACGTAGGATTTGTATTTCCACACAATTGTATCTTTCACTTCAGAATGCATGAATTCTATAAGGATCTTTTGCAGGGAACGTTTTGTGATCTTGAATTTCCTATTTTTACTGTGTTTGAATGTCTTTATTTCTCTTTTTTCCCCTAAGTATAACCTTGTTGAACATAATAACCTTGGTTGGAAGTTATTTTCTTTCAGAATTTAAAATACATCAATGATGTTCTTCTGAGTTATAGAGATTCTGCTAAGTGACCTGGCATTGAATGGGTTTCCCTCTACTGTGACTTGGGTTTTCTTTTTCTTACATTTTGACAGTTTGGCTGTATCATAGAGAAGATCTTTTCTAGTTATGCACAGTTAGGTTCTGTAAACCTCCGGCACATGGATCTATATGGTTTCTGAAGATTGGGAAATTATGCTATTATTTCATTGACCAGATTTTCCTTTCCTTTATCTGTTTGCTTTCAGGTATTTCGAGATGTAGGTATCTGTTTGCTTAATGATGTCCCATTCTTTTTTAAATGCTAGCAAATTTCAGTGGAAAAAGTCAAAGTGAAGAATGATAGAGAAGTTCACACTGTAGAGTGAACTTGGGCTGAGAAAAAGAGGAAAAAAAAGCAAGATAAAAGAGCACCATGGAGAAAACAGGTCAGATGTCCTGAAGAAAGCCGCGATAGCCTGGTGTCTCAAGTATCTCGAAGACTCTATGCTTTCTCACTTTTTCTCTTTTTAAAATTTCTGTCTGAGAAAGATACTTCATATGCCTGTCTTTGAGCTCTGATTTTCTTTCTTCTGTTTTACATAGACTGCTATTGAGGCTTTCAATTGATTAGTATTAGTTTACTTATTAAGCTCTGAATTTTCCAGATTTTTGTTTTGGTTCCTTTTAAAAATTTCTGTCTTCTTTGCTGAAGTTTTCATTCAAATCCCAATTCATTCGGATGCAAATTTCACTTAACTGTTTATCTGTATTCTCTTGGATATAAAACTTTTCAAAAAGTCATTTTTTGGAAATTTTTATCACGGGTTCATCCATTTAAATTTATTTGGAGTATGGTAACAGTGAGTTATGATGTTTGGGGGCTACCTTATCACTTTGAATTTCATATTTCTTATGTCCTATATAAAAATTTGCATATATAGTTGATCATGTATTCCTCCACTTCAATGGGATGGCCATTACTGTAAGTAGCTTTTATTTAAAGATGTGTTTTGTGTTATTGCTTTGTGACACAATGCTAGCTTTATTTCCATCAGGACACCATAATATAGTTTTCCTGTAGGTTCTTTCACTGTGATTAGCCCATTTGAGCACAGTAGGTACCACGCTTGTGTTGGAGAGACCCTTTCTCTTTTATGGTATGCGAGACCATAGGGGACACTAGTAATTCAGGCAGGCCTCATGTAGATAACAGTGTTTATGTGTTTGGTGCACATTGCACACTTTAGGGATAGAAGAGGAAGACCTTATCTGGGATGAGGGTCTCCTTGGACACTACTCGTGGTGCATCTGTTACTTGTAAGGAGCTCTGGCATTTGCTGCACCAGTAGTGGTGAGATGTCTGAAGCACCTGTCCTCTGACCAGATGATGGTTTAAATTCAGATGCTTCATGAAAGAAGTGATGGCTGAAACAACAGTAGCCCCTCTGTGGTTCTCAGACACGGTCCTGACAGCAGTGGATGGTCAGACAGGTGTAGGAGCAGCGGGCATAGTTCCTTCATGGAACCATGACGGTGCAGTAGTAACAGAAACTCTATTGCTACTGTGGGAGCACACACCCAGGAACAAGACTTGCATACTTCCAGTTAGATGTACCTGGAGGGTGATGTGATATCTAGGGCTTTTCACCCCATACCCTTACAGTTACAGTGCTTGCCACTAGTGGGAGTGGTTCCTGAGCTAGTGGGAGTGGTTCCTGGCCAGATCCAGGCAAATTCCTATTGGGGCCTCTTTTCCTTTAGTGGGGTAATAGCTGGGGCTGTTCTCCTGATTCACTGAAGTGAAAGGTCCAGCAGTGAGTGTTCATCTGTGTTCATCTATGGCTGTTCACCACCAAATGCAGTTATATACTTACTCCCTGGTTCTTCTTTGTGAAGGAGACAGGTTAAGGCTGGGTGCCTCTATTAAATCATCTCGAATGCCTTACAGTTCCTCTAAATAGCCAATAGTATGAAAGAAACATGAAAGAGATTTATTATGCTAAAAAGTCCACATTTGCTGTTTGTAACTCTTCTCTCAAGTCTGGATTTCATCTGAGATCTTTTCCCGGAAGGCTCAAAAACTTTGTTATTTCTTACAGAGCTATATTATTTTGTATTTTCATACTTAGCATTTATTTTTGCCTACAAATGTCTTTTGCTTTAGTTTTCTTTAAATCATTTTCTCTTTATAGTTTACTTTCTATGTTGAATGAGGGTAATGCAGTATTACAGTTATGTTTTAGGGAATATTACATTTCATTCCCAGACTCAAATTTGTTTCAAGATTTTTCCTATCTTTTGCTGATACTAATTTGTCCCTCATATGTCAGTTGTGAGTTCCTTATACTTAGTCTGGTTGAGTTTTGATGACTTTGCATCTGTGACTTTATATTTTCCATAGAGTTTGAAAAGTTCTGTTCATTATATATATGATTTCTTTCCTATTTCCTTCTAATACAGACGTTCCTCCTTAAATGACCTACCTGGTTATAGACTGTTAAAATTTACTTCTATCTCTGGAGACTTGCAATCCCCCCGCCCCAATAAAAATAAGGCAACCCTCTCAGACTCATGACACAGGAATGTGAGTGGCAGACTGGCCTTTTGGTGGCTTTTTATATGGTGTAGTACTGTAATTTTGCTGATTATACTCTGCAGTACTGTACTGAGATTTGCTGTTCTACTATACATAGTAATGCTGCATGTAAAAGTTATGCAAATACAAGCAAAGTCATAAAGTTAGAGTTTCCTTTGACCATTTCATGTTCTGAATATTGTAATGAAATTCCTCACTTAGCAACCAATTCTGGTTGCAGGACAAGAACTCGGGCATTAAATGAGGAATACCTGAACATGTACATTAGACTATTTGGAGTTGTTCTAGTATTATATTCTGTTTTCGTAGTTATTGTCGTTTTTGTTAGTGCTTCAGAGTGAGTAATTTCTAATAACCTATCTTTGTATTTACCAATCATTTCTGGAGCTGCATTTAGTCTTTTAAAAAGTCTACACTTCCTTTCAGTTATTGCTTTTCAATTTTAGAATTTCCACTTGGTTCTTAAGTTTCAATTGATTTGCTGACATTTTGCACTCTCTGCTCATGTTGCCTCTGTATTTCTCTTAGTTCCTTAACATATTTTGTTATTTAAATCCCTTGTCTAGTTATTCCAAGTCCTTAGTTCTTCAATGATTTTAAAGAATATGAATTTTTTAAAAAAAGCTTTCTTCAGTGTTTTTTCATTATTATAGAAAGACTAACTGCATTCGCACACTTCTACGTCCTTGTAAGAAGAGTCCAGCTACTCAGGAGGCTGAGACAGGAGGACTGCGAGTTTGAGGGTCACCTGAGCAACTTGGTGAACTCCTGTTACAAAACAAAAAAGGGCTGGGATGCAGCTCAGTGGCACAGTACTCCTGAATTCCATCCTCTGTATTGAAAAAGGAAAAAGAAAAGAGAAGAAAACAAAAAAACAAAAAAACAAAAAAAAAAAAAGAAAAGATGTCTTAGTCTTTTTTAAAAAAATTTGGCTCTATTAACCTTCAGGGCTTCCTTTCTTTCTAGTACTTTAGCAGTGTTCCAGGTTGTGCCTGTATATTTTCTGTCCCACATCTGAATTCACCCATTTGTTTTTCCTCCGCAGAAATCTTCTATCAGGGTAAAAATACAAAAATATAGGTGTTACTAATTCTTACTGCTAATGGTGATCATTGATCCTATACTTTTTCAAGGGACAAAGCTGGGAAATAACTAATAAAGAAATCATGAACTCATGTTAACATTTCAACTCTGATTTAGCAATTAGAGTATTTTAATTTTGAATATGTCCTATGTCTACTCCTCATGCTGAAATTCTTGAGTTTTAAAAACTAACATAATTACAGTTTTTTTGTATCATAAAATACAGTGTGAAGTCACTTACGTAATTTTTAAGTATATGTATGAGGTCAATTTGATATGTGAGTTTTATTTTTAAAATTTTGTTTCTAAAGGATATTTTTTCTCTGGGATAAAATATTAAAGTTACATAAAAAGTTGCAAATTTACCAAGTTAAATTATAGAACAAAGTAAATTTAAAGAAGATACATTTTTGTTCTTGTCTCCTGTAACCTATTGCCTCTCTTCTTTGTTAGGTTTCTGTGTACATTTAAATTAGTTTTACATTCATCTTTTTATTTTTGCTTTAGAAAATATAGCATATATGTGTGATTATATGGAATGTATGTGTAAATATATAAATGTACACACATTTAAATAGCATTTTCATAGTATAGTCTTTAAAAAGTCTATAGTCAATTAAATACTAGAAAAACTACATAGCAAATAAATACCTTTAACTTCTCCAGTCTGTTGAAGATTAAGAGAAACATTACATATTAAAATATTTTTAACAATTCTGCATTAAAGAGATCAATTTATATTATGTTCCAAATGTATATGAAACTTACTTCTCCTCAGAAAGAGAGAGAGAGAGAGAGAGAGAGAGAGAATGATGAAGCAACTTAAACCATCATATTTCAACCACCACCTTCCCTCCCTGTCCCAAAGAAGCTTAGTCTAGGGAACAAAACAGCTTCAAACTGTCCTTTCTCATCCAATCACAGTTAAACTGTGATTTTCTTTAAACTACAGGCAGAGTTCAGACCATTCAGACAAGTAAATCCATGAAAGGTGCAATCTCTTAGATATCTTAGGATGACTCAGAGAAATACAAGCTCAGCCCCTCTTTTTCTCACCAAATATTTCATATCGGCCGCGGAAGGAATGACTTTGCCTCGAAATTCGTTGTGGAGCGCAACACACTGTTGGATAAATTGTGGGTCTTTTATAGATGGGACTTTGGAGAATTTACTAGCTGCTAAACACAGACCAAAGATCCATAAGCACCTGAGTTTCATCCTCAGAGCCATAGAAGGAGGATACCAGTAACGGCTGGGGCAGCCGGACCTCCCAGCTGGTGACCGCGCTCTCCCTGGGCTCCATTCTCCTGCACAGGCTCGAGCCCAGCGCGAGGACACCGTGCCCGCGGGCATTGTCGCTAGGGCGCTAGCGGACAAGACCGTGTGACCCTGGGCTGCAGGGGAAGGCCGCGGGGCGCCGGGTGGTGCGGTTTTAACTAACCTAACCAACGTGCAGATCCCATTCTAGGAATCCTTGCAACGGTGTTGGACACTAGGTGGCAACATGCAGGGAGCATCAAGAGCCAGGCGTTTTGAATGCAGGAAGTGAAACAGATCTTTGTGAAATAAGGGAGTTTCGTAGGCTTGGCCTCCCTGCACAGATTTTTTTTTTACACTGTTTGAATAAACTGCCACATCATTTTGTTCCTTCCATCCGGGACTGCGAATTGAACAATAGGCAGTTTGTAAACTGCCGATTTGTAATAGGCAATTTGTAAGCTGCTGATTTGATAGTTTGGAGCGCGGCTTGTGTTGTTATGCCAAAGACTAGGAAAAGAGTAGGTTTGCTTGCTTATTTCACCTAAAATATAATGCAAAATGTTTGGTTTCATGTTTTAAATTCATTATATTAATGATATTGTTATTGAAAAATAAAACTATTTTTCTAGGACATGAAATGACTTTTCAGAATTTCTGTATTTCAAACAAATATTATTTAATCATTTAGGCTTATTACAGCACCATTTAATTCAAGTGGACGCATGCTAAGATCTTCTGAATGTTCTGCCATACTTAAGTAAACCCTAACATAAATGTTCTAAAGTTTACTTTGATGAAAGGAGTTCTCATTTTGAATAGAAAGCAGAAATTAAAATATGAAACAAAAATGCAAAAAAAAGAACCCTATTGGGAATTGTACTGGGTGGTAGAGAAACTATTTTGGGTCTATGCACATTCTGTCTGTCTCCCACCCCCTGTAAATATATACACCTTTCTTTAATACACATTTTATATGTATTTGCACATTTCCCTGAAATCCACAGAGCTAGAGAGCAAGTCTACTGGAGATCTTCACTGTTTATCTACTTGTCTCTAGTTTCTTCCAAATAGTTGTCCCCATCTTCACATACATTAAATACATACTGCACATTATAGAACTAATCAAATCATCACAGGATGATGAAGGCTTTTTAGGTCTTCAAGATCTGACATTGGGGAAGACAATAATAACTACCATAGTATCTCTCATTCTCTTTGGAGTAGCTGTCCTTATCTTTACATATGCTGAAATTGAACTCTGATCAGTGAATAATAGTATTGTTAGATTTTATTATGCTACAGAATTAGCATTGGGTTTCTTCGTGTCTCTTCTTCTTCAGAGTATCTGTTCATTACATCTTGCATTATATAATCTGCTCCCGTAAATAGTTTTAAAAAAATCTTCTCGTGTGTGAATTTCTACATGTATATCTATCCTCTCTGTATTATAGGGAAAACAAATCATAACAAGACAGCAAAACAAATTCTTAGAAAAACATGCAATAGAAGAGACACATAAGACCACAATATTAGGTGATCTACAGTAGTTACTATGCTTTCCCTTGTTATTTTCAATAGATGTGTCCACATCATCAGGCTTAATATAGTTAAGCATAGTATTACATAGTTATTTTTATAAAAACACAATTTTGAAAACATTGTAGGACTTGAGAGCAGTTAATAATCAATACCGGTATGGGTATCTTTTATATCTTGTCATCTTCAGAGTATTTGCCTCTAATTTTAGGGTTGATACTATCAAGCATACCAAATTCAAATAAAATCAGCCAAGGCAAAACCACAGTCTAATGAATTGGATTCAAATAAGATCAGTCATAGTAAGACAATGTAAGTAAGTAATACAGGGTTTCAGTTTAAGTTAAGAGAAATTAAGGATAGTTACCATGGTATAACATGCTATTTTTGGGTCAGATGTCTATGCCCTCAAATTTGAGATGAGTGGACAGACCGGAACAAATTAAATTCAAACTAAACAGGTTGATAAGACTACTGTGTCTTTTAAATCCTTATACACTATTAACAATGACCTCTGCCCTTTTTTATAGTGTATCAGTAGTGTAGCTTTTACAGTGTAGCTTACCATCTCTGCCTCATGTCTGCTACTCCACTTTACTGCTATAATTTGTCCACCTGACTCTGTCATTCCACTGTCTGCCCTGTTCATTGAGGCCTCTCTGACACTGTTGCTGGAATCCTGGTATCCCTTCCTCTCTCTCTCTCTGGAATGTTTTTAGCACTCTCTGTAGGGTTGGGTTGGTAGCCATGAACTCCCACAGTTCCTCCTTGTCTTGGAAGCATCTTATTTCTCCATTAATTTTGAGAGAGTTTTTCTGGGTATATCACATGTACATTATGAGACCGTAATGTCCTGTTTATAGAATGCTGCAGTGAAATCAGAAGTCAATGGCAAAAGAAACCATAAGAACTTCATAAACATATGGAAATTAAATAGTACCCTCCTGAACAAGCAATGGGTCACAGATGAAATTAGCTTCTATAATTAAGTGATAATGATAATACAACATATTGGAACTTATGAGACACAATGAAAGCAATCATAAGAGAAAAATTTATAGCAGTAAATACCTGTATCAGGAAAACAGAACAAGTGCAAATATACCATTTAATGGTGAACCTCAAACTTCTAGAAAATAAGAGAAGTGGAGTAGCAGACATGAGGCAGAGATGGTAAGCTATAATCTTTAGTATAGATTCCTTTCAATTCCTTTGCATTTATTTAAGCATGTTCTGTGAGCTAACATGTAGTCTATTTGTGGAGAATGTCCCATGTGCAGCTCAGAAAAATATATTTTCTGATGTTATGTTTGTGTGTGTGTGTGTGTGTGTTGAAAGACTCTGTAGACATCCACTATATTATTTTTTTCCAAAAGTTTGGATCAGTTCTAATATTTCCTTGTTAATTTTTTTTGTCAATCTGATCTGTCTTTTTGTGACAATAAGGTATTGTGATTCCCTGATATAATTATATTAGTGCTTATTTGATTTTTCATGCTGTTACTATTTGTTTTATACAATTAGATGCACCAGAATTTGTTGCATATATATTTATAATTGTTATCTCTTCGCACTGGATTATTCTCTTTACAAGGATGTGGTAATCTTATTTATCTTTCATAATCAGTCTTGTCTTGAAATTCACTTTATCTGAAAATAGAATATCTATGCCTGCTTTTTTTCTGGGTTCCTGTCATGTGGAGTATTATTTTCCAACCTTTGACATTCAGTCTATGAATTTCTTTTTGAATTAAATGTGTTGTCTTTATGCAACATATTGTTGCTTCTTAATCCATTCTGCCAGTCTGTGTCTTTTGATTGGTGAATTGAGACCATTAATATATAATAATTGATATATATGGACTTGCCCTTATTGTATTATTTTCCTGTTGTTAGCTCTCTCCCTCTTTTTTTTTATTCTTCTCTCTGTTTGATTGTTTGCCTGGCCTGGTGGATTCTTTCTATTGTGGTTCATGGAGTTGTAGTCTTATCATCTCTTTCTGGAATATCCTTCAAAACATTTTGGAGTGCTGTTGAGTGGTCATAAACTTCCTCAGATGTTCTTTGTCATGGAAGTATCTTGTTTCTCCATAAGTTTTAAAAGATAGTTTTACAGGTACATCAATCTGGGTTAAAGGCTATTTTTTGTTAGAACTTGAAACGGTTCACTCCAAGATCTCCTTGAGTTTGTGCTGAGAAGTCAGTTGTGATTCTGATGGGCTTTCCTTTATAAGTGGTCTGTTTATTTTCCCTAACAGCTTTTAAGGTTCTATTCTTGTGTGGAATTTCTGGAATCTTAACTATGATATGCCTGGCTGTAGATATTTTTTGATCATGGCTAATTAGAGTTCTGTATGTGCCATTTATTTGTATGTCAGGTTCTTTTTCTCTACCAGGAAAGTTTTCTGCCATGTTCCTCTTGTGCAGTGAGTTCTGTCTCAAGGAGAAGGCACTGCCTAGGTACCGCCTTCTTTTTCATTGAAGTTTTTGTCTTCATTCTGTCTGTGGGCTTAAATTCATGCTTCAGATCTTTCCTGGGCTCTGGGGACCCACCTCTCTCCTTCTTGTCTTCCTCACATTGCTATATTTTAGTGTCTGGACAGTGACTAAGAGGCTCTTTCTCTGCCACTTACCACTCCACCATTTTGGTCAGAACCTACAAATTATCTTGCATGTACTTTTGAAAACCATCATGGCTGGTGTGAGGCAGACAAGAGGGAAGATGTTTATTGTGGAAGATGCTTTCAATCATTAAAAGAATCACTGCCATCCATTGGCTCAATGGAATTTTATTCTTTGTATGCAGTTTTAACAAGGAACCAGTGACACTTGCTTTTACTTACTTTTGAAGATTTCATGGAAATGAGGCATTGCATTGTCATTAAGCAGATTCATTGCTGGCACTGGTACAGTATTATTCAACTGGTTATTTTCTACAGATTTTGCACTATTTCCCACATTTATACATCTCTTTTTAAGTGATCCATCACACCTTTTTCTCCTTTTCTGCAGATGGTATTTCCTTCATAATTGCTTGTTGTTGGGAGATGATCACCCACAATCCTACAGTGAAAGAGAGAGAAGGCCTACTAAGCACAGTTGTGATCAGGTGACATTCAGTGTCATACTATTTATGATCCAGCCTGCTATTCAATCCGTGGGGTGTACCTGGAAGGGGAACGGGGATGAAGAGAACACGGGGGAGACAAAGAGAGATTGAAGCAAGTCAAGAGCATCCGATCAAGCCTCGTTTATTCAGAAAGTGATCACATCTTTTATAGGCCAAGGGCGGGCTGGCGGGACAGGAAGAGGCTATGAGGTGGTTTCTGATAGGTCATCGTCACATCCGGGTATGTGACGTAAGCAGGAGAGGATTATGGTTAATATAGGCAGGTGCATCATATGCCCATAGGAGAGGGAGGCGGGGAGGCAGCAATGGGGTGGTCATGCTGCTCCCTACATAATTATATTGCCAGCAGCACTCATTTTTCAAGTTAAAATTTAATGGATATGTTTCCTCATCTAAAAGAACACTTGCAGTACAAGTTACTCCAAATCCCTGGTTTTATTACAGTATGTTTTTAACAGAAGTTTGTTTAATACATGAATAACTGAATGAACAAGTGAAAATTTAAAGCAAGCATTGAGTTTAAAACAAATTTTTTGGCATGTTAGACATGAACACAGGGTCTCATGTTTGTTATGCAAGTTATTTTTGTCATCACAAATAGTAAATATTAACATATGCTACCTCAGTTTAATTTTGCATATGAAGAAGTCAAATGGCTATGCAAATAACAGCACAAATAACAGTACATGAATTTTTTTAAAATTTGGCAAAAATGACAAGTTACATTGTCAGTGTAGAAGCCATGGTTTTGCTCTCTTAAGAGAGGAAGAAAAGGTTGGTCAATTGGTATTAAGCTACAGTAAAGAGAAATAGTTTTTGGGGTGTTTTGTTGCACACTGGGTAACCATAGGTAGTGATAATGTATTGCATACTTCAGAAAATTTGGAAGAGGGAATTTATAACATTTTTACCACTGGAAAATGATGTTTGAGAAGACTGATAAATTCCCAGATTTCAGCATTACACAATGTGCCCAATGTGTACAATGTGTTAAAACATTACATAGTACTCGACAAGAATGTACACTTTTAAAGTGTTGATGAAAAATAAAAAAGATACATTAACAACATGTCTGAGTTGTAGAGATGTGGTTTTTAGACTACCCTTTTCGTGGCTTGGGAACTATATTGGAACAATTCATGGGCACCTGTAAGTGCCAAGAATAGACCAGCACATAATTTATTCTTGACTATTTAGAATGAGTAAGATCAGATAAGTACTTATTTATCACAGTTGAGGTTTAGGTTTTTGTTCCATTTTTTTTCCAAGTTTATTTTGACTTTTCTTTCTGTAGGATAATGCTGTAGGATTTTATGAAGTGTATGGCAGAAATGGAATGATTATATTATGATTGATTTTGCTGTTTTTATGCTCTCAATAATGTATTTTTACTCCTCAACTGCCTTCAATCTGTAAATTCAGAAATATTTTTTGACCGGATCTAATTTTGAAGAGATACTACAAATTAAAAATATAATAAAGGATTATTTTGGGTTGAGACCTGGATCATAATTCATGAAATCTTAGTTGTAAGGCACCTGACCCCGAGCTGTGTCATTTAGGAAAGTTATCACATGTTGTATTGGAGTAGAAAATTAGGAATACCTAAAATCATTACTTACCTTTGTGGACGGAGACTCACTGTTCAGAGACATTGAGTACAAAAGAAAAATTCTGCCACAATAGAGAATAAGATGGAGATTTCTTAATTTTTAGGTCTGTGTCCTTTCCACTCTATCAGTATTTTAAATTGCGAATTATATCATATATATATATAGATAGATTTCAAATTATATCATATCATATCTATCTATCTATATACACACACACGCACACACACATACACACCCATGTACACATGCACTTGTATACCTAATAATCTATATGCATGTGCACATATACTTAAAGTGACATACTTTTAATATACTGCTCAATATCTATATCTCTCCATATAGCATTCTACTGCAGTCTTTTAAAAAATAACTTGCAACCTCCTTGTCAGCGGAAAGTACAGCATATGTTTGAATTTCTACCCCACAGACATCACCCTGGGCGCTGGGCACAGAATAGTACTCTGCGAAGGATGTTAAGTAGCATCCAAGTCAGTGAAGAGCTACACAGAAGTCGCAAATCCATGCCAGGCTTTGGCCCTCTGCCCGCCCAGAGAAGGGTCTGGGTTCGACGCAGTCAGCTCAGAGTCCGCGCTGGGCTTTGGAGGCTCAGTGTCCTTGTTGGGCTCCGAGGGGGAGGGCTTCCCCCGGTGACTCTGTCTTCCAGTCCTGTGAGTTTCAGGGACTTGGATCCATCAGGAGGAGGGACTGGCAGGCACAGCTTGCTGAGCGGTAGGTCAGCGTGCACAGAGTGAAGCCGGTCCCCATCATCTATTGTATTTTCCTTGGGCGAGGCTGGACTTCCAGCAGGCTGCGCGCCGGTTGCCTGGCAACCTGCAGACGCTGTTCAGCCGCAGAGTCTTTCTTGAAAGCTCCCTTCCAGCCTGCCACTTCTGAAGCTGTTTGGAAGAAGGTTCTTGGTGGAATCGCTCTAGGTTAGACTCTTTCCAACTCACCTATTTTATATTTGGTTTTACTGCGATTGTTAGGTCAAGTGCGGTTGATCTGTCGGATAGGAAGGGCATGGAGAATTCCTACTCTGTTGTATAAGATAGCAAGGACAATCACTGTACAGTACTTTATTTGAAATTAGGAAGTACCTTAGGTTCAAATACCTGGGTGTCACCAGGGACCCAAGATAGTCTTGGTCTCTGATCTCATGCAGCTTTAGTTCTAAACTGTATTGACAAATCTCCTTGATAACTGGATTAGGCCAATTTATCTTCGATTTCAGTATGTTGGGATTTAGGGTAAGCAATTTAATAGCAACTAGTATTACTGATTTAGAGAAAAATGATATTTGGAGTTGAAAGCAATCAGTGTTTAAGCATGAGGAAATTGGAAGCAAGTTCAGCGCTTTAGATAATGCTAAAAGACATCAGTGATATTTATTACATGCTAGCAACAACATTTTGAGTGGGAGACAGAAGCCGTAACTTGTAGCATTTTGAGTGGGGACAGAAGCCATTCAGAACATTCATCTGTCTTCGTGCCATCTCCTATCCCTAGCATACCCTTGGTGAGTGGATAATTAGTGTTTTATGACAAAGAACATCCTTGGGATACATTACAAAGATTGCTTCACAGCCATTTGTTTGAAATGTTGGTTCTTGTGTGGCCAAATTTAAATTTCTGTTGCTCTTTAATCTCTGCCAGCTACTTCCTGTTTCTTATATTACTTCTACTACCAAGAGCGTAGTAGTGGAAAGAAATCTGAAACCATGCGTGAATTCAGGTTCTGCAATAACTGTCAAACAGTTTAGAAAAGAAAATCACTTTCTTTGGTCTCAGCATGTTCACTTTGGAAATAAGAATCATGGGCTATTTTTCTCTGAAGCTCCTTTCAAATCTTACGGTTTTTCTAAATAGGGTGTTGGCAGCCTGAATGCTTTAATTCTGTAGATTCCAGCATGTTCCATCTATGATAGCATTGCCCTTTGAACATGTTTGCTATATATGAATGAATCGTATTATATTATGTGATTCTGAATTAACTCAGACTTGAATTGATTGATTTATTTAACAAACATTAAATCCCTGCTATTTTCTAGTTTTTCTGTTAATCCTGAAATACAGGCTTTAGAGGCACTGTGGCATCCATCTCCTCCACATAGAGGTATTGATGGAAAACCCCCAGCCCTTACCTTCAGCTGTGTCATTCTCTATACTGAAGAAAAGCTGCCATTCAGTGCTTCAAACACTTATGCAGTGTCTGCAAACAGAACTTATATTGCGATTGGGAAAATTGGGTGTGAATAAGTGAAACTAACTTGTGAATATGCTCATGGTTTTTAAAGTTATTTTGGTGATGTGTTAATTTATTGATTGACTAAATAAGTATTTATTGTCTGTTACAGTAAAGGCAAGAAATACCAGCCTTTGTGGCCTTGACGGTGCTTGGGAAAGGAAAAGAGCTTATTGCGAAAGTCATTACCTTGTCTGAGAAATACAGGAATGGGAGGACATGAATATTTGAGGGTTAAAATTATGCCGTTTTTATTACCTGAAAATCAAACAGGGATTTAAAATAACTGATAGTGATTTGAAATGGGTATAAAAGTTACTAAGGTATAGCATTTAGAAACTGATGTGTGTATGTAGAAAATCTTAGCTGATTGTTCAGCATTGCTATCTCGTTTGGATTTTATCTCGTTTAGCTAGTAATTATCATAGCAATTACAAAAACTATTGGGATGTAACTAAACAGTCTCCAAACCAACCAAGCAAGCAAACTAACAGCAATTTTGAAAAGTCTGTGAAAGAACTCTGAAAAGAAAGCCATACAAGTACTATATTGTCAAATATAATAATTTGTAATATTTTCAGAATGTTTCCTGTTGATTGATAAATCTTGAATATACTCTTTGAGTAGAACTTCAGGTTTAAGTCAAGCATATTTTTAAGTCAAGGCAGAAGTACTTGTAGTAGAGGGAAGGCATCACATGGGTAAGTTAGGACAGCTCAATTTTTAGATGAAATTTCATTCAGCATGAAATAAAAGTATGTCTTAATACCGAGTGCTATACTTTCAACTCATTCTTAAGTTATAGGAAAGTAGAAAAAATATCAAGATTTTAATATATTTGTCTAACTCAACCTGGAAGTATACCATGCTGTCTTTAAAAATAAGCAAAACAAAATAATTTACTATAAAAATAAATTGAACTCTAATTATAGAAAAAAGAAGCTATGCATAAATTTTTAAACAAACTTTATTCTTACTAACCTAAGAATAAAGTATAAACTAAAATTATAAAATTTTGATGATAGGTATATTCATCTGATTTTTGTTTTGTTCAACATTCCAGTTCAGGTGTGTTTTTATGAAATCTTCTCATAACTAATAAGTAGATCCTTTATTCTGTGTTATTTTTTGGATTAGATGAAGGCTAGCAGTGTTTTCTAAAAATATTTTGTCAGCTTATCTTGACAAAACAAAGGCCCATAAAGGTTTGAGAAATGAATACAAACAAACAAAGAAATAAAAGTTTACCTTACTATGATAGAGAAGGGGAACATGCATTACTTTTTTATTCTTGCTGTAAAATTTTACTATAAACTTTGTTTAAAACAAGATAAATGTATTTATTTACCATTCATAAGATAAGAGTACAAAATGAATCTTAAGGAGTTAAATCCTAGCTACTTGTGGACTAATTCCTTCTGGAGACTCCGGGGGAGAATCCACCTCTTGTGTGTTCTGCATCCTGGAAGCTCCTCATGACCATCTTCACAGCACTAGGGCAGCATCATCATTCCCTCTGACCTGCATCTCTATGCTATACTTTCTCTGTCTCATGCTCAGCCTCCTGTCTTCCTCTTGTAAGGACTGTGGTGGTTACATTGGGTTCATGTTGTCATCTTTGCAAGCCCAGCAGTCTACTACAGGTCACAAAGAATTGTCGTACAAAAAGTTGATATCAGTAAGGAAAGTATAAATGATTAACTGTATGGTTTTTTCCATGAAATATTATTGTGTGTAATTTGCGCTGTAGACTGAAAATTATCATTTCACATTTATTTCACCTTTTAAAGCACAGCGTACTGCGTGATATTACATGAACTTGAATGGAGTTAGAGGTTAGAGGAGTGACTGCTTCTCCTGGGAGCCAAGCTCAGCTGTTCTCGGGAAGAAGGAAGCCGGTACAAGTATGCAAACTGTGTTGTTTTCCTCTTGTAGGATGACTCATTAAATACTTCGCTGACTTATTTCTTCATGTTCTGTGACTCCGTAATCACAAATATTTAGGATCAAACAAAAATGAAGATCATTACTTGAAAATATGTCACTGCCTCAGTTAGCTTTATTTTAAAATTAAGCATATGATTTTATTATTGCCAAAGTATTTGCGCTTCTAAAAGCATTGAAAAAAGTCTGGGGACCAAAGAAAACATGAAAATAGAAAGAGAATAAGTAAAAACGGGTCAAAATGTGATATATCCCACAATGAAAGTGTTTATCATGTATCACAGACACCTAGTTTAAAAAAAGAGAAGAGAAAAAAGGAAGAAAAACAGCTGAAATAGAAAATATTTGCTATTCTAGAATGTAGTCTTTTGCATTTGGTGGAGTTATTCATTGGTACTCCATTGTAAACTATGTATATAATTTTGTTTCCTACTTTTAAATCTAATTCAAACCATATCCATTTTCTATAATTAAAAGCTCTGAAGATGCTTTTAATAATTTTATAGTCCACTACATTAATGGTCTAATTCTGAATTCTTTGAAAATTTTGGTCAAATCCCTTGTTGTTTGAAATATCAAGTCCAGTATTGCAGCCTTTTCCATTAATTATATGGTTATATTATAGAAATGTCTGTTTTTTCTAGTTTAATTGTTAGAAAAATACCAAGGTTTAAATTCTTTGAAGTATGATTTCCATAAATACCTTTTGCTGCTGAAATAATTGCTTTAGGTCTTACTGCCCTTTATAAGGTTTCTTTTAGAAACATGCAGAAAATGAAGGCATTTAGTGACACTTTTATGCTTATCTTAGGACCATTGTTCTATAAGAAAAAAATAATTCCAAGTGTTTAGGTTAGTTCCACTTAAAGATTATTAACCAAGTGTCATCATAGTGAACATCAAATTACTAGATGCTGTTTCCCAAGTGTTCTAAAGCTAACATTAAAAGTAATCAATTGTGTTTTTTAAAAACATGATAATTATTGCTACAAATTATTATTATAAACACCAACAATGAACAAATAGATGTGATAAGAGCATAAAAATTTTTTTCAGGCCTCCTGATAGTCAAATCAAGGCAGATCACACCACGATACCGTTAGGTCTCTATTAAAATAAAAACATAAGGTAATACTAAGAATACTTAGAATACATTAATTAGTATGACACTTTTGGAGACATGATTGGTGGTCTGTACTAATCTGATAGTCATTTCTTGTTACCTGATTTAAGAAAACAATCTCAAATATAGAGAAAGCCATTCTTTAAAGTGCTTTCTACGCTCTCTGTTTTGAACTGCACAATTCTGTTAGAAATCGGCAAAAAAGTAATTGCCATTCTAAGAGAGTTATGCCTGTGACTTTAGAAGAGGGCATCTATTAAAACACTCTCTGGGGAATAGCAACAATAATAATGTTGATGATTATGGCAACTATGCAGCAGCTGTACTCAGCTTCCTAAGGTTTGTTCTCCTTCTTCCTAATGTTAGATGATGTCATGATATTTCACAAATACAATAAATACAATCTTCAACGTGCTATAAAAGTTTTCTGTTGTTTTAGGCATACCTTTTCCACTTGATAATTTTTAAATTTATCATTGTCATGTTTTAACTGTGTATAAGAATTGTGTTTAAGACAATGAATTGATACTGAGATGAATTTGTTCTCTCTTATTTTTATGGTCCATTATAATGATAAAGTTCAATTTGAATGTAGTTTCCGTATATGAATATCATTATGGTAAATTACAGCTTAGATAATATTTTATCAGTAAGATTGTTTCCTGGGTGACACAATTATCTCTTTTTCTCAGAGTGACTCTTCATCCTTCGCTCATTAAAGATTGTTTTTGGTTTAGAAATCCTTTTTCCTTAGAGTAATATGGCTACTCCTGCTGCAGTAAAGCTCTGCTGTAGACTTATTTTCTTTGTGAGTGCTATGCAGATGGTGATTATATGTCATGCCATCATTTTATCTGTGTCTTATGAACAACAGAGAGGGATTTATTATTTTTATATAAGGAAAAATTATAACTAAGTTTATTATGTTGATTTACTGCTTGTCTTGTAAAATATGAAAAATACTGATTCTAATTATTTTATTTTTAAATTAAAGCAAGATTGGACTTCTAGATCATGGGCAGTTCAGAATCCCTGTCCACCTATGTAAGTCATATTGCTTTCCATTTGAATTGTACAATGGACAAATGTTTGCCGTACTTTGTAAGTTAAAAAATAAAGCAAAGCTATACAGCGTAAGCAGCTAGAATTTTGAACTCCAGTAGAAACAATATGCATACAGCAAATCTGAATATTACTATATGAAACTTAAGATAGTTCTTGTCATAGAATGGTAAGATTATGAGTAATTATTCTTTGGTTTTATTTTCTTTCATATCAACCTCACAATTCAATGAAAAAGTTAAGATATCTTTGTGATTTACTGGAATATATTTGTGATACATGAGAACTGCATTCACCTTGGGGAACTGGACCTGAGATCTATCTTAATTACTTCCACATTCCCTTCTCCCCGCTTCCCTGGCTCCCCTTTCCATCTCCATAAAGTTTACCTCCCTTTTTCCTACCATCTCTTTTTTATTTTTATTTCTGTTTTTATTTAACTTATTTCTATTTTGTGCTTCTCATATTAGAGAAATCATGTGATATTTGACTTCCTTACCTGATTAATTTCTATATGGTCTCAATAGCCGTCTAAAGTATTTTTAATTAAAAACTTTATTTTTAAAAATTCAAATTTACTTTTTGGCTGATTCATAAAGACATAAATATATATATATGCCTATGGAATACTTTGTGATATTTTGACACTGTATACCTTGTGTAATGTGTAAATCTGGGCAAATATATCTATCTCTTTACTAAATACATTTATGAAAGAATTATATAAGATTTTCCTTTTTATAGTTGGCATAGTAAAAATTAATTTAACAGTACATACACACGTGTTTTTTTCTTGAGATTATATTATAATGTAATCAATGTTATCAAATTTTATTTTTTATTTAGAATGCATTAGTTTATGTTTTATATTTTACATTCTTGAGGACTTGAAAAGTGTAATATACATCAAATATTTTAGGCTATAGGGCCTCTTGGAAAGTAGAAATTAAACTAAACCCCGAGCAATGCTATTTTTGTAGATTAAAAATTAGGAAATATAAATAACCTTATGTGTGCCTATAGGCCTAAAGAATGGCAATAAGCTTAATTACTAGATATAAAATATTGAGTATGTAGCAAGGATTGGGTGAACTGTGTTTTGGTAAATGTTTAATAATAATTAGTGTTCTAAAAGTATATAAATATACTATATAATCTTACTTGTTAATTATTAATAAATTTAAGTATTTTTTGAGATGATGAAAAGTTTTACTATTATAAAGTACATGTTGCAAGAAATTTACAAGTGATAGTAAAATATAAGGTCTTTTTTTAAAGTCCATTAGACAATTGGCACTCATAAAATGCTCGCTTTGTTTGTTTTGAACTTTCTTTTTTGGCTGAACCATGGCTGCAGGAATGACAGTGTAGTTCCAATATGAATGTTTGTTGATACTGTCATTTAACATGAAATGCATAAATGGTTTCTTTGTGAAATCAATAGTTTTGAATACTGAAATTATATTTCTCAGTATTTAGTGATGCTTTTCACTGCTTGACACCTATAGACTTGTTGCACTTTAAAATTTAATCTGAATTATCCACAATTTCTTCACTTGTTTTTAACTCTTAGAAATCAGTGAAATAATAAAGTATTTACCAATTTCAGGGTAAATGATCCTACTATGGCTAATTTCACATTATCTATGTGAAACTGGTGAACAGAAACAGTACAGATACAATAAAAATATTCTCTAAAACACATTCAAGTAGCAAAGTACAGTGAAATCATTAAGAAAGGATGAATTTGGGGGAATTATTACCTTTATTATTAATACAATTTAATTATAAATTTGTGTGATTTTATTTTTAATAACAGATGTATTTAACGACCAGCTCGAAAAATTATTGAACATTTAACAAAAGCTTATCACAGGCCAGTAGGACCCAGTATACCATTACCTTCTGTCCTTTTGTATATGACTTACAATTTGTTAAAGTCTTACTGTAAAAAATTTATGATGTACACGTATTATTTCTTTCAGGGTCCCACCACTTGATTTGAGAAGCATTGTTGGCTCTGATGATGAGGTAATTTTTACTTACTATTTAACATAATAAACTTGGTACTACACTGTTATTACATGTATATGTTGTAAGTATCATTATCTTGTTTTTTTAGGATGATTTTTTGTATGGTTCTCCTAGTGCAGTGCATAGTCATTTTAACCCATCAAAGTCATCTGATCTTGGTTGGATTGCACCATGCCAAATATCAAATACTCAACATCATGTAAATGAACTGATTACTATATATTGGTTTATTATTAACTTTTGAGAGTATAGTATGAATTATTAGTACTACATTTAATCCAGGATTTCACTGTGTTTAGTCTGTGCCTTGTCCAATTAAAAATTTTTATATATGAAAATTTTAAATGATAGTGGTGGTAGAGTAATTTTACTTTGACAGTTTTTCAGACTTAGGGATGGAAGTTTAAAAAAATTTTTTTGGTACTAGGACTTGAACTCAGGATCTAGCACTTGCAAAACAGGCTAAACATTTCTTATACAATTGATAAAATGCAGGTATTAAAATATGAAATCTAGGAATTTTAAAAATATGGCAAAGCTTTAGATGAGATTTTATTAGTTTTAGTTATAAATTTTATTTCTCAGAAATGGACTCAGACTTCAGGCTACTAGACAGAATGCTGTGGAGTAAATAACTGCACTTAATTCAATATGTTTCCTTGGGAGATTTGTACTTAAATGCAAGCTTTCACTAGTATTACGCTGAGTAGAACTTGGTTTTCTATTTTTGTAAGTCTTTGTCATAAATCTGATTATATTCATGTTCTCCTCAGCTTCGCTTTGGGAAATTTCATAAATAATACCCTAGACTCCATATTGCTACATTTCCCCCCCTGAGACTGCTTCATCTTTCTCTTGGTTAGACTCGAACATCTTCAACATTTTTTAGTGGTTGGACTAGCACCCTGTGCTCCTTTTGCTCCTTCAATTTCAATATTGAATTTTGGGTCAATGTGTGCATTGTATTTTGTATTTGTATAATACAATTTCAATTCTAATGTTGAAAACTATCAGGCTTCACAGTGACCTGCTTTACTCTAAAACTGTCATCACTTCCTCTTTTTTTTGGTCTCATTTTCAGAAAGGACTGCAGCCTTACAAATTGCTGAAATTTTTAATCTTACATTTAATATTAATTTGATGAAACTTCAATATTTATGGGTATAAGAGCAAATAAAATAAGTTTAATGGCATTTCATAAGCATAGTGGATATGCTAATATTGAATTTTGGGTCAATGTGTGCATTGTATTTTGTATTTGTATAAAACTTATTTTAAATTTCTTCTACCACTGACTCTGATATATCTAATTCCCAAGAAAATGTGGCAGAGAGCTAAATAATACCAGAAAGTAAAATATTTTAATGTTTCAGAAATGGCAAGATGTATTTCTCAACATTAGTGGTCTCCAATTCCTATGATTGTTTTTGGAAGAAATTATTCACAGTGGCCTTCTTCTGGAACAGAAAAACAGAAAACTTACCTACTTAAACATTTAAGGAGAATATAAGGTTTATTTTTCTTTTCTCAAATTCTTTTGGAACAAGGGCTGATCTGCAAATGCCAAACAAAACATAGGATTCTTGCTATTTAGGGTCAAGCCTGTTCTGAGTAGTTCTGTCTCTTCGGATTGATCTGTCATGCTGTGCCAGCTAGCAGCTGTAAGTATCACCTCTGTTTAGGACATAGGTTATGATATTCAGTTTCTTAGACATAAATACTAAGGTAAATGGTAAACCTGTTAATGTCCATAAGGAAAATTAACGATTGTTTCTATTTTTTTTCTGGTGGACAGTATATTTCTTCTTTACCTGTAGGAACTGGACATAGTACCTGAAAATTTGCCAGCACCAACTGGCCAATGTAAGCTAAAATATGAACAATATAAAACTGAAATGAAAGAAGGATATAAACAGTATAATCAGAGAAATGAAGAAAAGACAAAATCAATTATCACACATCAACAATCTCCAAGAGACAAGAAAGATGAACAGGTAATGTATGAGGGTTTGAAAAATTTTAGGGAAATTTAAAAGTTTATGTGTTATAGCATTTACTGCCTATACCAGGAGCCATTTAAAATATTTTACTTATGAACTAGTTGACTATTCACAACAAACCTAAAGGATTATTATCATCATTTTCATATGTGTAAACTGCAGCCATATGAACCAGTACTGTTAGCAGCTTTTCACTTGCTTAGAGAGTAGAAATAAGACAGTATCATACATGTTTCTAACATAGTTATCATGAACTCTGTTGGATTACAATTTCAATTCTAATGTTGAAAACTATCAGGCTTCACAGTGACCTGCTTTACTCTAAAACTGTCATCACTTCCTCTTTTTTTTTGGTCTCATTTTCAGAAAGGACTGCAGCCTTACAAATTGCTGAAATTTTTAATCTTACATTTAATATTAATTTGATGAAACTTCAATATTTATGGGTATAAGAACAAATAAAATAAGTTTAATGGCATTTCATAAGCATAGTGGATATGCTAATATTGAATTTTGGAAAAAATACTTGGAAATAGTCTTTGAAGTCAGATTCCAGCTGAACTCTGGAGGCAGAGCTAAAATGGTTAGATAATAGGTTGGCTATATGTTTGAGAGGCAGAGAAGATCAAGAGTGATCCGTACAGAGTTGAATCTGTAGACATTACTTTGATTGAAATTAACCAGGCATAAAAAGGCACACACACACACACTCATTCATATATATATATATATATATATATATATATATATATATGAAACAATATGTGTTTCTGGGAAACTAATGTAAATATTGTGCCTATAGTTACTAATACTGTAATTTTTGTGTCCCCCCCCATGTATGTTTACTGTGTATACTGACGGATGAGTTATTTGGCAATTGTTAATTAGCAAACCATCACATTATATACCTTGAATATATACATCTTATATTTATCAATTAAATATTTCAAAATAAAAACCTTTTGACTTGAGCAGTTGCCATTAACTAACTATAGGAAAAGAATATATGGAAATCTGCTACAAGGAGATGAAATTTGATAAACAGTGGAGAACTACTATTTTCCTCTTATAAAATGTTAAAAACAAGGTGAAATAAAAATTCTTTTGAGGAAAAAGATATAAATTTGTGTATATATACACGATAGCCCAGATGATTATACTACTAATTCTATTAGTTTTTGGAAAAGAACAACTAATACTCATACAATTAGATCAATTTTGCATGTCTATATCTAGTAATCTAAGCAACTCTTTTGAAAATAGCAATATGCAATATAACAACTATTGTTAAATTCCTACCATCTTGTTTTGAAAGCCCAGATTGTTATTGTTTTGGGGTGTTTTTTGTTGTTGCCTATTTTGCTTTTTGTTTTTCTTTCCTGTGTGTTTTTTCTTTTCTCTTTATAAAAAATATTTTGAGAGGTTTTTCAACCTTAAAATAATGCTTTTACAAAAATATATCTATTATACTAATTTGTTTAATTTAGTTTATATAATGTTTAGCATTATTTTGGTGCTTGCTTAAATAAATTTTTAGAAAAAATAAGTGCATTAGTGAATTTCATTATTTAGCTTTCCTATTGCTGATACACAACATGCAATGGCTATAAGTTGAAGGAGAAAAGATTTAATGTGCTTATGGTTTCAGTCCTCTATCCTCTGGCTCCATGGCAGAAACACATGGCAGAAGATTGTGGCAGACCAGAACTGTTTAGCTCATGGTGGGCCAGGACACAGAGTAAGGGAAGAGTGTCAGAGTGCATGGGGGCAGGGATCAGCTATAAACAGCAAGGCCAAGACTCATGAATAGCCAGATTCACCTAGAGGTGGGTTCCACCAATCCCCAGGGTGAACCTCAATGCTAGTCCATTGGAAATCCCACACTAAGTGCGACATGGATGAATGAAGTTCTATTGTTATTAACTGATTTCCAGATTTTAAATGCTTACAGATATTTTCATTTTATCTGTAAGTGAACGGAGGCACTGAGAGGTCATCTAGCTAAGAAGGGATTCAAAGATACGTAGTCGGAGTATCAGAGTTTGTACTTTTAATTCACACAAATAATCAGTGACATATTCAATGGTTATCTGTCTTTTGTTAAAAACAAATATTGTAAATATGTGTATGATGGTTTATTTATTGCTTTTATGTATAGGGTACAAGTCCAAGTATACAAAGTCCAGAAGTCAGCAAGAACGACCTTACAACTCTGGACAGAAAAGCCCTCTTACAGCACGGTTATGCGTCCAGCCCTTGCCCAGCACAGCTCAGTACAAGGAAATCAGATGCAGTAAGTCATCAGTTATTTCAGAAGCCACTAAAATAATTTGCCTTTTAAGATTTTTATGGACTTACAATTGTATAAATTACAATAACTGAATTTTGACTGAGTTGAATAATTATCAGTGGGCAAATCAAGTATATTTAAAAATGGTTGACTTGTGTTTGGTGTATTTTCTGTAGAAAAATTATCTTGAATTTGACCATTTGTCAAAAATTTAGCTTATAATATTTGAGAATATAAATTAGCTGTTACTACATTAGTGAGTTTACTTGGCATCACCCCTTTCTTCAAAAAGAAGCCTGGTTAGTTTTTTTTTTAATAAGTTACTAATACTATAGAAATTCTGGCCAGTTAAGAACAAAGTACCAATAAAGTTTTCTTTAGGACTAATGAGGTAAAGGTTTAAACTTTCAATATTAGCTTTAATTATGTATTTTTCAAAGTGAATTAAATTGAGAATTGCTTTCATCATTCTGGGATACACAGATAATAAAAAAATATTTTTTTCTCTAGTAAAATTTCTCTTGCAGTAAGGAGACCAAACTACTTGAAGGTAGAGTCCACTGGCCCGTGGAAACCTGGGTGACTATTTTAGCTATATTGCAAGGTGGATGAATGCTATGCAAGCTGTGAAAACCCTGATTTAAAAAGCCCAAATAATAGTAAAGCATTATGGAGTTACCAAGTTACACTGTCATTAGCACTGAAGAGAAAATCCTTATATATTTTACTTGCTTGTAATGGTACAGAGTCAGTGTGTACTGAATTGAGAGCAATGTGTAATTAAACTCTGGGCCAGGCTGACTGATATTTTAATGGCTATTCCAAGTTGCAAATTCATTACAGTTCTTCTATCAAACAGCATACATATGATTTTCTATGCTTGTCATTTTATGCTTAGAACAATAGAGTGTTACCAAGGTAATCATCAGAGTAGCAAAGCTACTTTAGAAGGCAAAATAGTATTCTGAATGAAGTTATTTTGTTATTCTCTGAAATTTTATTTTAAATGAATGTCACTATACTTAATGTCCACTGGGTATTATTCTTAGTATAACCTAAAGCTTTCTGGGTATTAATGGATTTCTTTTCTTACAATTACATTCAGAGACAATGTATGTAAATTTATCATAAGTTAAGTTTTATTTTTTTGCTGCAGCAGGGCATTATCTGTTTTATTTCCCCATGGAAATGCTTATATGAGGAAGCTTTTAAGGCAACAGAAATTAGTACTGATTTATTTTTAAAATGTAGGTAGAAACATCTTTAATTTTTAACTACTTAGCTAGTCACCAGAAGCAGTGAGCCTGTGGTTTTCATGTCTCTCTCTAGTTCTTTAGTCATTTTTTAGTGTTGCCAAGTCCTTTGCGTGAATGTGACTTCTGTTTATTATCTGCTTTATGTTTAGGCAGATCTCTACATCATTGTGCCTGAGGGGATTCCAACTTTTCTTCCAAAGTATAAACACCATAAACTTCAATGAAACCAGTAATTGAGAAAAATTAGTCGACTTACTAATGAATTACATAAATGGACAAGTTTATCATTCTTTTAATGATTGGAGTTCTGTTTCAGAGTTTTGGTATAAGGTTAAACAATTCCGATTCAGTTTCAGCCTCTTCTAGTGTGAACAGTTTTAAACAAGACTCTTTTTGTATTAGTGTTGATATTCTTGCCACAGATAAAGATGCATTTTGCACGGCATGTCTTGAGGAGGGGAGTCATAGAGGATGACAAAGGATGTGATATTTCTCTTTGCTTTATTCTGATTCCACACAATGTAAGGCAGCCTGTTGGAAATGTCCAGTGATTTTTGCTGAAATTTAAGCCCATGAAAACATAGCAATTTTATATTAAGTTAGAATTTAAATTTATAGGGCGGTGACTTTAGCTCAGTGGCATAAGTGCCTGCTTTGCAAGCAGGTGGTTGTGAATTCGATCCCCGGTACGGATAAAAAAAAAAAAAAGAATTTAAATTTATTAATAATGGATAGCAATCTGTATTTAAGAAGGAAATTAGAAATATTTCATTCATGTTTTAGGAGTTCTGAACTAAACATATTGTTTTGAATAGTAAAATTGTGGTATTTTTATTTTCTCAGGAAAGTGTGGCTGCGGAGAAGAAGAAACAGACTGTTGCAGAGCAGATGATGATAGACCACTTATCTAGGTCCGAGTTCATATCTGGGAGCAGTAAACCATTCTAAAAGTTTTCATTGCATTTCTTTTTCATGTACAACATTTACATATCTGGTTAAATAATGTATGACTGAGCTTCCTTTGTTCTCTGCAGTCTTAGTATTTCAGAGCCCTCTTAGACCAATCGAAATATCTAACAATTCTATTCATTACATTTATTATTAATGTCTAAATAACAATAACCATTTATTTCATAGTAACTTAATGACTACTTAAAAATATTGCCCATCAGTCAAAAGACACTTTTATGTCCTTCTTAAATTGCTACAGTGCTTACTAGTGGGAGGTATGCATCTTTCGAGCACTGTGGAATCTCTGAAATATTCTCTGAAGCAGTTCAGTATTTTAAGGTTTCCATGTATCTCCTTCTATTATCCTGTGTACTTTACTTGCGCTCTCTTTTTGTAAGATAAGTAGTGGCACCTATATTACTATACAAATGATGTCTCACTTCTCCTTCACTGGCCCATTAGCAACTTCTGTCTTAGCTGAAAATTGTCTGTTTTGAAACATTTTTCCTTTCTTTTGCTTGGCCTCCTGTTGTACACATGTGGCTGTTTTCTTCCTCTCTTCTGCTCACATTCAGAGTCTTTCGATTGTGTGCTTTCTAAGTTTTAATGTGGAAGTGCTCAAGAGCTCAATTCTTTGATCTCTTTTATATTTGGTTCCTAAGTAACATCATCCTGTATCACATTTTTAAAAACTCACTATGTTACGCGATGTATCTCTAATCTAGGGTTTCATTTGTACATTTTCCAGTCTGATCACGTGACCAGATCTTTAATTTTTCTCCATGACAGCTGGATATTTGAAATTATCTAGGCCTAAAATGGTGATGCCTTTGATTCCTCTCTTTCATTCAAATCCTATATCTTGTTTGTCAGCAAATACTCTCAATTCTATCATCAAAATGAATGCATTCCTTCTCCTGCTAACATTCCTGTTTTAACCATTGCTTTCTATCTCCTGGATCACTACATTTATTTCCTAAATTGTCTCATTGTGTCTGCATTTGCCTCTTATTGATTTATTCTAAATCCAGAAGCTACAGTCAATCTGTTAAAAGATAAGCCAAATCAAACCATTCAGTAGTTTACATCATAGTTTTTGTAAAATATGTAGTACTTACAATGGTTACATGTCACCACAAAAATTAGTAGCTAACTATGTACAATAGCTTGTGTTCAAATGTCTTTAATGTTTAGGTTAGCTGTCTAGGGTAGAGTTGATTTGTGGATCTTGTTACTTACATAAGCATGAGAAAAGCAGTTATCTCAGCTCTGAGTTTAGGTCCCAAGTTTTCATTTGCTCTTTTGTGCTTCAGCTGTCTCTGAGACAAGAACACTGCTTGTCTAGCTAACTAGACTAAAGAAAAAAATGCTTCTGCAAATGCAGCTGGTCTACTTGGCTAGCATCATCCTAGATCAGCAGATTTCCAAGCAAACCAAGAGTTAGTTTGTATGAGTTAGTTTGAGTAAAATCAGCAGTGCCGCCCAGTCATATATAACTGACCAAAGAGAACCAAATGGCCAAGCTCAAGGTCAAGAAGTAAGAAAGTACACTGCATCCGCAGGGAACACATGGCAAGGATGTAACAGGAGTGCTGAAAAATTGGACCCACTAATACTGACTATTCAGTCTGTATTAGTAGGTCTGTACTAGTACAGACTATTCAGTTTGTCTTAGACCTTGGATTCCTCTCCTACTTGTCTGCTCATCTGCTCTGTTCCCAGCCGTCTAACTTTTTTATTAGAGACAGATACTCTTACAAAACAATATTTATGTGTGTATATACATAAATATTTTACATGCATGTATAATAGCATATACATGTATAAACCAATTTATTTAATCACAATAATTATTTGAGAGAGGCACTGTGCCAGATTACTCTTCATAAATGAGGAAACTATATCCTAGAGCAGAATTACTAGGGAAACTCACTTAGCAAATTTCTGGAAGAGGTAAAGTTGAACCCAGGCACTCTGGTTTCTGCCACGTGTTCTCTTCCTCACCACACTGGGCAGCTCCTTGCGTGTGCAGTGCTGGATGCTTCTGTGCCTTGTGCATACTGCTCCTGTGCTCGCGATACCCTTCTCTGTTGAGTGCTAACTTCTATTTGCTTCTTAAGAGTCAGTGGAAACATCTTGTCTTCTCAGAGCGTTGATAAACACTTCTGTATATTTTTTTCTTTCAAGACTGAAGTCATTCTCTTATGTTTGCCCATTGAATTTCTCTTATGGCAATCATCACTTTTTTATTGTACATGGTTTGTGTTTCTCTCTACATTATCAGAAATCAGCAGTGTCTATTTGTTTAAAGAATAGCAAAAACATGAAGTTCTTAGCTCCCTCAAAACTTTTATTTTTAGGTAATATTGAAACAATGGAATATTCACTTTTTATGGTCAATATTTTAATTATTAAATTTACTCATACTTGACAAAAGCATTATTTGGACAATGGTATAAGTTTTCATTTGGTATATGAACTTTCAAAATTTATTAAAGTATCTGAATAATAGAGCAATGCCTTTTCATGTTATCATACTTGGTATTTTTCCTTTTAGGGCTGTAATCAGTGATCCAGAACAAAATTTAAACATTGAGAAACAAGGAAATGATCATATCCCTCCAGATTCAAAGAGACCACCTCTTCGACTTAGGAAAAGAACACTCCATGAAACAAAGTAAGAAGGTTTTAATTATATAAAATGAAGAGGCATTGTGTTATAAATGTATTGGTAAATTTTATTTCTGTAACTGAAAAGTTTTCATTTGTTTTTGATGTTTTACTATATAAAGAGTAATCCCATTTTTGCAGTTCAGATGCTAGTTCTGCCATCTTAAGATATTAGATGTGATATCTTAACTGTACCCTTTTTGTCCATTAGATTTTTTAAATTTATAATTTAGGGAGGAAAAACACAACATTTTGGGATAATACACAGGAAAATGTATAATACAGTAACTGAGATTATTTTTATCCCTGCAATGTATACTAGCTAAATTTCACTGGTATGTTAAAATTAGTATTGCTCATTATTTTCTTTTTTACATTTATGGGCTTTATAACTTAGAATGCCTTTGAGCTATTATGGACTTTAACAGGACTGTGGTGCAGCCTACTTAAATTCTTCCATGAATTCACTTACAATTGACACATATTTTCAGCTTGAAAAAACAGAAAATCTACCAGTACTTACAATAGTGCTTTTTCTATTTCCAGATTTCTGTAATTGTATTTTTCTGTGTCCTTTTTTTTTGTCTCCTTCTTTTCTGGGGAACTTTGCTTCTGTACATTTGACTTTTTCTGAGTAGTGCTACCATGCGTTTACTCGTGCACGCCTTTTCACGAACTTTTGTACTCATTAATCTGAGTTGATAGAAGTAGAATTTCTAGATCATTTGTTACTTTAAAAGTTATTGCAAATATTTCTTCAAACTGGCAATTTGCTTTAGTAGCAGAGTGAATTTTCTAGATGCAGCAGTTTTTTGCCAATGGTTGGAATTGTCTTTTTTTTTTTTTTTTTTTTTGTCTTTTTCCTTTTTATCGGTACCAGTGATCAAACTCACGACTGCCTGCTTGCAAGGCAGGCGCTTATGCCGCTGAGCTAAATCCCCAGCCCCTGGAATTGTCTTTTTTAAAATTCTTATAAATATGTATTGGTAATTTTAATTCTTATTTCATTGGATATTAAATAAGTTTAATATATTTCCACGTGTATATTGGCCTCAGATATCTTGACTTGAAAGTTGACCAATTTAACCAATCTTTTCCTGTATGTCCATGTCCTTTGTATCTTCTTAAGAAACCCGTGTCTACCCCAAAGTCACTTTCATTCTGACTTGTAATGTTGCTATGTCATAAGTTGTTGTAAATGTTAATTGACTTCCAGGTTTTTTTAAAAATCCAGTTTCATCTCTTTTTCTGAACCTATCTTAATTAATATTGGTTTATATTAAGCACATGTAAGCACTGTTTAAAGCTAATCCAGTTGCCTGAAAATTCCTATGAGAGTATTTCTTAGGACTATTGAATTTGTAGATTTTCCTTTTCTTTCATTTTCCCACAAAAGAAGGAAAGAACTGGGCTTCATACTTAGAAGCTGCAATTAGTATGTATAGTTTAGCTTTTCCCATCTCATTTTCTTTGAGTAGCAACTGCCTAAAAGAGGACATGTTTTACCCTCTGTATCAAAGTTCTGCAAGGTACTTCTTCAATGAAAAATAAATCGGTTAAATTAATTCTGGTTTAAAAACAGCTTGTTGTTGCTGCATACTTAAATCTTGGTTTCCAACAGCCTTTAAAAATTTATTATTGATCATATAATTATTAAATTATAATGTTATAATTATTAAATATTATACAATTATATAAACAAATAATTATAAATATTATATAATTATTAAATTATAATAATACATTTCATATCTGATACTTAATATACTTGATTTTTTTCTCTAGTGGTCCAGAAATTGGATAGATAGTATTTGTGCAGTTTATTAAGAACCTAAAACCTGATATGGCTCTGTGAATTTCATATCAATGTGTATTTGTTATTCTTTCTTTTTAAGAAGACTCTAAATTCACTGATGCTATCATTTCAGTTTAATACCATTAAAGAGTTCTGTTCATGAGAAATAGTATAATACAGTAGTTATGAAGAAGATTTTTTTCTATGTCTGCTGTTTACTAGTCATGTGGCTTTGGGAAATTTACTTAACCTATGTCTGATTCTGTAAGTTTTATTATTAAAAAGAGGACAATGATGCCACAAAGATTATTGTAAGCATTAAGTAAGCTAATACACAGTAAAGTGGTTTAACAGTGACTAGTGACTAGAAACTCTTCAATAAATGGTAGGTGTTATTGTTACTATTTTCTCAACATTTAGAATTGTTCCAGGAAAAAAAATGAATATTCAATGTGTACAAATACCAGTGGATTAAACGGAATTGAGACAACTGAGCTTTCATGGCTCCCTCGTGTTCACAAACTGTCATTTGCTTAGCAGGCTCTTGTTTCCTACACTTGATACCTTTTTATGGAGGTCTAGGTTTGTAGAGGTGTTGCTTTTCAGATCTCTATGACCCACGCCCTTACATATTATTTAAATTATTGCTATTTCATTATACTTGCAAGTTTGTGGAAAGGATATCATAAAATTACTTGGGAAGGGAAGTATCAATACATCACCGAGTCTTTAGTTTGCTTGAGAGAAAAGATGTCATTGTAGGGTGCCAAAATGTGTGCATTTGAGCTTTGCGTTACATTTTTAATTAGCTCCTGGGCTCATAGATTTTATGAGATCACTCACTGCCATCCGATTAAGATTAAATAATTGACACACGTATTTCAAGGCTCGAGCTTCACCTGGCTCTCTTTCTCACTATTCTTCTATTTAGGTAAGGAATACTTTCAGCTGTCCATAACAGAACACCTAGCTGATAGGGGCCAAATGAGACAGAACTTATTTTTCTTACAGAACCAGGTGTTTGACGGTGAGTACTGGTTGGTTTAGTTCACAGGCATAGTGATGTTATAGGTCTAGCCTGGCTTTACTAGATCTTACTTGCTTTTCATAGCTACTTGATGACCATACCGGCTATGTGGCAACATCATTCCCTTTCATGTTGACAGGCTGTAACTCTTCCCATGTTGCTGTTTTATGCAGACTAAATAACATCATTTCTGAAAGCTTAGTAGCAGAATTGAGCTCCTTAGCTCTAACTGCAGAGGCTAAGAAAGCAAATTCCATGGGGGAAGGGCGGTAAAGAAGAGTGTTAGAAATGGCTTTCACAGAACCCTGCTGCAGGGCCAGCCACAAGTGTGTTCTCTGTCTAATACTCAGTTTTATAACATTTTGTAACATAGAGACCAATACAAAAGTCACTGACATATGTTCGATTTTGGGATGGTTTCTTTTATGTTCATTGTGTACTAGGAATTTGAGAGTTCTACATTTATTGTTTATTCAAATGTAGATACCATTAAAAATTATTGACAATATATATTTTTTTAAACAGGATTAGAACCCACTCTACATTAACTGAAAATGTGCTTTCGCATAAAGTACAATTTGATGGTAGGATCATATCAAGGTAATTGTCCTTACTAAATTTTTAAATTCTATACTTACAAATATATATTCTCTTTTTACATACAAACAATGAGAGTAGACAAATTTTTTTTGTTTAAGTGAAAAATGTGAATTTAGAATGCATGTTTTTAGATGATAGTTAATCTGTTACAGAAAATACAAAGCTCTAGGAAAAAAAATAACTAGGAATTATTTAATGAGAGATTTGAATTTCTGGACAGAGGGCTGCATGACTATAATTCCAGAATTTGGGAGGCTGAGGCAGAAGGATTGCTAACAAGTTCTAGCCCAGTGTGGACTACATAGTAAGTTTAAGATCAATTTAGATTACAGAGTGAAACATTGTTTCAAAAAAGCCAATGACCCAAGCCCAAACCAAAGTGAAAAAGCAACCCATCCCCCCCAAAACTATAAAGCAATAATAAAAATAAAATAATTTTAAAAGTATTTTAACTTGGTGACAAATGATGATAATCCCAGGACCCTGGGAAGTTGAGGGAGGAGTTTGGGCATAGCCTGGGTAATTTAGTAGTTTAAGGAGACATTGTCTTAAAATAAGAAATAACAAGAAACAGTGGAAATGTAGCTCAGTGTGAAGGCCCTTGGACTCACTCTCCAGTAGCCCAAAACATAATGATACTTTAAGAAGAAATTTAGAAGTGAATTTTAAAAAAAAGATATATATTACTGCTATACAATCCTATGCTACTTAAAATTACTTTATATATATATATGATTAATTTAATTTTAATAGTTTTGGTTAACAGTATATTATTGAAAATAGAACATAGAACAAGAGATGATTTTTGAATCTATTGCCTCGGTCTTACAAGCTTTCAGTAATACGTAATTCAATTTGATGGTTTTTGTGTAATTTCTGGTAAAATATGTATTTTTAAATTGTAATACTTGTTTGGCAATTTAAAATCTTTTTTATGACAATGAAAGATAATAAATGACATATCTTTGAGTAGTTTCTTGCAGGATTTAAAGGTTTTTTTAAGGTCTTCTGTATTTTAAAAATGTAGTTTGACTTAATAACACACATTGTAACATATCCGTATTGATATAAGATAATGCTTTTTTCTTCATCGAAATCTAATTTGATAGTTCAGCAAGCTGTGGTGTGTTTTCTACAGCTATCCATTCCACACTCTCACAGTTATGTGTTTCCACTTTTAGATGCTCACATTTATTTTATTATTTGATTTAAAATTTTCTATTTGAAAATCTTTGACATTGTATTTTTCTAGAAATGGACGTGATGCCTGCAGAGAGCTCTTTGGGTTCTTTTTCACTAATGATGGGTCCCTTACAATATATGAATATCGACAATTTGGAAAAAACAGGTAAACTGTGAAACATAAAAACTCTTGAGACGTTTATGTCTGAGAGAAGTTGAATAACTTTGTTTTCATTTAACTTCCAGAACAAATGTGCTTCCATTTATTCCAAAAAACGTCTATCATCATCAGTGTGGACGAAGGAAAGGAAAACAATACCACCTTGGTGACTTTCACATTGTAAGTTTAGTTTGTGTACATGCAAAACATTGAGTAGCAGATGTGGGATTCTGTGAAGTCCCCACGTGGAGGAAGAAGCAGGGCTCTTTGATTTCAGGTTACCTCATCTCCTTTCTCCTGATCAGGGATACTTGTGTGAGTGGGTAACAGTTGATGTTTTCCTAGGAAGTTCTGCCGCTAAGGCGCAAATCCCAGTGATCTGAAAGCAAGTATAGGATTATCTGTGTTATTCCAACACCCATTCTACAATGTAGGTTGTACCCAAGAAAGCTTATCTCTGGATATTTTGCAGGCTCTTCACGGTTATATTATTCACTAAGTAGCTACCTTGATAACACTAGGAGTGATGCTCCATCTGAGTAGGCTTACTCTCTGGGGGTGCACTCAGGCAGGGCTGTTGGTCTCTGGAGCTGACGACCTCTCTCCCATCTTCCACTTTTAAAATATAGAAACACCCCGCTTGACTCTTCCCTTTGTTTCAGTGAGGGAGGGAGATTTTTCTTCTGCTGTACAGATATTTTTATCGAATCTATCTTTTCATTTCTATAACATGAATCATTTTCTAAAAATGCTTTCAAGAAATTTTGATGGCATCTATAAAGATAATACTCATATAAATATGCAGATGTACCCATAGACACACCTGAGTAACAGTGCCCACATATGTGTTCATTTATATTTAATATCAGATACATAATATGGACTGAATGGAATGCCCTTATGCAACAGTATAAGTATATTCATATATGTAAGATTGCTGTACATATTACAGCATCTGTTAATTTGCTTAGTATAATAATCTTTTACAAGAGACTCTGAAACTTCCAGTACTCAGTCTTACTTCTTGACAAAACAGTCCATCTAAACTGCTCTATACTACAAATTCTGCCGGGTTGTTATGATCTAGGCATAGGATAATGTTTCAGTTTATCACTCATAATTCAGGTCTCCCAGTTCTGAACCATACATTCTTTAGGTCTTCCTTGATGCATCCTCTTTTATATCCTTAATATGTTTTTTTCAGTTTTTGTTTGCTTCCTGATACTAGAAAAATCACTGATTTCTTTCTCAAAAGCCTTCATGTCTTTTGGGTATTGCTTTTTTTTTTTATTTTAAAGAGGGTAAAATTAAACACAACAAAATAGAACATAAGAAAGCAATGTAAGAGACATAAATTTCAAAGCAAGACAACCAGAGATCTTCACTATCTATCACATTATCTCTTGTTTTTTTCCAAATAGTTGTCCATGTCTTCATATATAGTGAATTCATGCAAAACAACATAGTATAAAACTGAGCTGAACAGGATAATGAAGACATTTTAGGTCTTCAAGACCAGACTATAGGGAAGTCAACAATGGCTGTTATAGTAACTCTCCATATCATCATGCATGTTGAATTCAAACAAAACAAAACAGGCTAAAATCACTCTGAACAAAGAATAATAGTATTGCTGGATTTCACATAATGATGTTACAGAATCAGCACTGGGTACTGTAGTGTCTCTTTTTCTTCAAAGTTGTTGTTCATTTAATCATGCATTATATAATCAGTTCTCATAAACTGTTTATAAGTTCTATGTATGCATGAGTCTCTACATGTGTATGTATCCTTTCTGTATTAGAAGAAAAAACAAAACAAAGCAAGACAAAACAAAACAAATTCCTAGAAAAATGAAAAAGTTATATAAAACCACAATACAAGGTGATCTACAATGGTTACTATAATGTCTCTTGTTATCTTCAATAGAATTGTCTACGTAATCAGACATAGTATAATTGAACATAGTAGTACATAAAAATATTAATAAAAACAAAACATTGGAGACATTACAAGACTTCAAAAGCAGATAATAATCAAACCAGAGTGGGTATCCTAGTGAATCTTGTCATCTTCAGTTCAGTTGACTATACTCTCAGATATGATACTATCAATCATAACAGATTCAAATAAAATTAGTCAATACAAAATAGCAATCTAACAAACCAGGTTCAAATAAGATCAGTCATGATAAGACAGTGTAAGTTATGCAGGGCTTCAGATTAAGTTAATAGGAAATTAAGGATGATTACTGTACTATATCCTGCTATTTTTGGGATAGCTGTCTCTGCCCTCAACTCAACAAACAAGTCGACAAACTGGAACAGAATATAATATAAACAAAGTAGTGAGAGTAATTTGGGTTTAAATTGTTATACATTCTTAATATCCTCTGCCTTCCTCTTTTAGACTGTTCCTCCCCTTTCACTTCCACAGGGTGCACTGCGCATTTTAGGTCCCACCAACTCCCTCAGTTTTTAGATTGCGGGGGCAACCTGCTGTTCACTAAGTGGTTATGACCCTCCTCACTCCTGGACTTGATCTCATGTTGTATTCCTTTACTTACAAAAGTCTCAAGATTTTCCTTTGTTATAAGCTGAGTAGTTCTCTACTGCACAACATTGTCCTGTCTTTCCAAGCTATCTGCAGGTGCTGGTTGAGTTGTCCCTATTTCTCTCTGGTTCCTTGTCACATAGAGCATTGTTTTCTCATATTTTATTTTTGGTTCATAAACTCTCTTTTAGGTTAATTATATTTCCTATACAGAACATCTCAATGGATCCTACCTCTGCCTGTGGGTTTTTTTTTTCTGTATCAAGGCCATCTATGTTAAGAGATTATAACCAACCTTCTCTGCCTCATTTCTGCCATGCTATTTTTCTGCCATTGATTGTCTACTTTTCTCCTTCATTCCACTGTCTGCCCCATTTACTGAGGCTTCTCGCCAATGTTCCTGAAATCTTGGTATTTTTTCTCTCTCTTTAGAATGTTCTTCATTATTTTTTATAGGGTTGGATTGGTGGTTGCGAATTCCCCCAGTTCCTCTTTTTCATGGAAGCATCTTGTTTCTCCATTAATTTTGAGAGATAGTTTTGCAGGGTATATCAATCTGGATTGTTGTTATTTTCTTTCAGTGCTTGGAATACTTCACTTTAAGCTCTTCTTGATTTAATGGTTTGTGATGAGAAGTCTGTCATGATTTTGATGGGTTTTCCTTTATAGGTGATCTGTTTCTTTTCTCTGATGCTGTATAATATTCTGTTCTTGTGATGAATTTCTGGGAAATTGATTATTATACACCTGGGTGTAGCTCTGTTTTGGTTGTATGTAACTGGAGTTCTGTATGCCTCATACATCTGAATATCATTTCCTTTTCCTATGTGTGGGAAGTTTTCCTTAATTATTTCTGTAAATAGCCTTTGTATTTCTTTTGTGTTTACCCCTGCTTCTTCACTCATATTTTTTATTCTTAAATTATAGATCCACTTGTTGTCTCCTAGCCTATGTGTTGTTACTGTCTGTTTCCTTGTTATTTTAAAGAGATCTTTCCTTTCATGTTCAGACATTGCAAACTTATCTCCCAGTTTTGTTTATCTATCTCTAGTTTCTGTCAGGCAATTTTGCCAGCTTCCTATGGAATTTTTAATTTCCTGGTAATTTCTTTGAATCTATTTCATGTATTCTAAGTTTTCTTTAAACTCTTCATTGAATATTTCTCTCCTTTTTTGTGTTCTTCCATTTTTCCTTCTGCATCTTCTTGAGAGGTGCTTCACATTTCTTTTATTAATCTTCTTATATCTTGCTTTACTTGGATTAATATTTCCATTTTGAGCTCATCTATAATGTCACAAAATATCTCTTTATGTCCGCTGATGCCGTGTCTGATATTGCATGTGTGCTGCCCTCAATCTCTTTTGTATTTACCTCTCCTGGATCAGTATTTGCAGGGTTGGGGATGGGGGCTTTTTCTTATTTCTTTCTCTTGTCAGGTTTTTGGTTTCTTCCATTCAGGTGTATAGTGGAGGTCCCAGCACTTTCCTTGTTGGTTATGGTTCTTCTGAAGCATGCTGGCTATGGATTGCTGCCCTTTCCACTTTACTGTTGGTCATTGAGGTGCAAGTAGGGGTAGTATAAGCTGCCCCTCCCTTCTGAGCCAGTCAACCTTCAGGGACCTTCACCACGTTAGTGTGTGGCACATGTATAGAATTGATTCAGGACAATTTATTGGGTCCTGGCTAGGGGTGTGACCCAGGCCAACCAGATTGCACCAAACTGCTCTAGGTATGGAGCAACCAACTGCCATTCCTTGTTCATGCCCGTCCTGCCGGATTCCAACATGTTGTCCAGTTGGTTTACCCTTTCCATAGGAGGGTCTTATTTTGAGCACTCACCTTGGGTTAGTGCAGGTCTCCATGCTGGCACCATTTTCCATTGGGCTGACCAATCCCTGACTTCCACATGACTGTGGCTCTGGTGATTCATGGTGGTGCGAGTTCAGGTGGCTCCAGAGAGAGCATCGTGGCCAATATTCTTAGCTGCTCCGATAGTAGCCCCAGGACCATGCGTTTGACCAGCTCTTTTCCCTTTAGTTTCTTCCTGGGTTGAGAGGATCCATCTCCCTCTGTCTGGTCCTTTCTAGTATGTTTTATTCTAGCATCTGGGTTGTCTCTCCCAGGGAAGCTCTGTATTTTGCTGCTTACTGATCCACCACCTTTAGCTCCCTTCAGGTATTGCTTTATTATGAAGACCCAGAAGATTGAAGAGTAGAGAGGTCAAATCTGAACTCGTTATCTAGAATAGCTCCTCTATTCTTTTCATTTTTTCACTAGGCTTAATTTTTCTTCAGTCTGTATTACTTGATATTATATTATGTAGATATACTTTTCATTTACTAGCCTTCTCTGTCATGTTACTGTAACTCTTTCAAGGTAATGTCTTACCTATTTGAGCCACTGCTGTATTCCTATCATCCTGAAGATTGCTGAGTACTTAGTAGGAACCAAGGAAATGCAGTATGTTTAAAGAATGGCTATAGATTTAATATTAAAATTATAAATTTCATTAAATACATTTATTAGGTGTATTTTTGTGTTAAGAGCACTAAGACAAATAAAATATCTGGTAATATCATCTTATGAAGTCCTACCATGCTCTTAGTCTTCTGTTTCCATTGGCTCTATCATGTTATACCTTATTGGATTATATTACATGTTAAAGTATAAACAAATTTCCTATGGAAAATGAGATAATATAGTAGCCATTGTTTGTTTTCGGTTATTTGGTTCTGAAAACCCTGTAATACTCTCATTTTCTTGAGTGTTTTTATGCTATTTTGTTATGTGTGATACTATTGTATATGAAGTTGTACTCAACTATTTCAAAGAAAGAGACATCGGGATAGTTACCATTAATTATGAGTTGTCTTCTGGTGAAATACTGTTTTGCTTACATTGTTCTGTTCTGATCTTCTCTGTTATGTCCTGTTTTGTCTTAATCTCTTTAAAATACAAAAAGAAAATATCTGGTTCCAGTTTCTTTGTTAGTGGAAACTTCATGAAAGAATATGTGAATGCAAAAGGGCCATGTCAGATGTAAACGTAGCTCCAACATGCTGACTTTGCTACTATTTGATCAATGAGGTGAACTATTTGCCCATTGGTGAAAGACTCAGGCCATTACATTTGAAGTACAGATAAATGTTTGCAAGATTTAAATTTTTATCTAAAATTGAGAATTGTTTCCTTTCTTAATTTTCTAACTTACATTTAAAAAAACAGAAGCATCTACTTTTTCTGGAAAATTAAAAATGTCACATTTACTTGTTGAATATTATCTCTCATATTATCATATCCAAATCTGCAGAACTTTCAGGTTAGTGATCCTAAAAGACTAAGGAAGGCATTGTGTTTTGGGTGATACACATCTAATTTTATCTTTTGGAATAAGTGGCCAAGAAAATTGTGATATTTTCACTCTATTAAGTTCTCAGTATGATAAATTATTGTCATTATTTTCTTAAATATGTAACATTGGCCTAATTTCTTAGGAGTTTGGTAGATTAATTATCTTTTCATTTCTTTTGTAAGTTTCTTGATATTTAATTACACATATAAAGCCAACTATTATTGGGGAAGGTGATAGCTTTTTTCATTTTTCAATTGCATGCTGATTATTTTTGGTTTTTCATTGGTAAAAATTTAACTATGCATCCATACTCTTGAAAATGTACTTATATTACTGTTTGATATATAAAATATTACAGATAGTAGACCTCAAAGTTTTGGGACCAAATTCAAAATACAGCATTTCTACTTCAATGACTCTGCCTTGTGTTGCTTACAGTATCTACTTTGGTTGTTAACTTTTTTCCTGGCCCTCATGCATGATGTCTTTAACCACTAGAAAGTTGATACTGTGTAAAACAAGCAGATAATCTTCAGTGAAGTACTTGCTAATTTATTTCTTCATAGAAAATAGGTTTTCCATATAGCAAATAAAAATATTTAAACAGTATGCTGAAGCAAAAAAAGAAGCTGCTCAAGGTAGAAACTATCAGTGAAGGAGCTCTGCTCACCTCTAAGTTCACCTGGCTCATTAGCTTGGCAGATCTGGAACCCATGCAGTCTTAGCTGGGAAGCTCCAGTTCACTGCCTTATTTCTTTCTTAGCTGAAAATTATTGTAAGATTACTTCCGTGAATGGTGTTGAGGGGATAGAATTTAAAACTAAATCTGCCAGCCCCTAAAGCCTCATCTAAAAATAGTAAGGAAAGTTATTTTATTACTGAATAAATATTAGAACATATGACATCAAAGGCAGTCTGCTATGACATTACAAAGACAGAAGTCTCATCCTTTTACATATCTAAATGATGTGACCACTGTATACATGCAACTTGTCTTCAAGTAATAGGAATTGACAGCACCGTTTGCCACACATAGTTTCCTTAAGCCATCTAGTAATTACAGTGATCAACTGTGTTACCTAACTGACTTTATTCGGGGGAGAATAAACCTTTCATATCTTTGTGACAGAAGGTAGTTTTGCACTTAGAGCAAGGTACCACATAAAATTATGCACCAATCTTCTGAGAAAAAACTGAGAGATTGAAGTTTCATCTCTCTTTCTGTTTACATTGCAGAATAGTTTTAAAGTTCTGCAAAAAGACTTTCTGAATATATATATATATATAATGTATATATATTCCCCCCACCAAAGGAGAATGAAATGCTTATAGTAACTGTTTTAAGAAAAAGAAAAGGAGGGAAATCTCTTCCCATATGGTCAAAAGGAGAAAATAAGACTCAGTTTTAACTTGTATTTGTCCTTACACTGGCCATTTGTGTATATGAACAATGGAGGAATTAAAGCGGCAATCTTTTAAGTTCAGCTTAAGACTTTTGAGTAAGAATTTTGTTACTGAGACTTTGATGTTCTAGTTCTTTTAAGTTAGGTTTTATGTTTATGTGATCTGTCATCAAAATGCCAGGTGAAAATTGTAAAGCATCTGTCACATTCATTGATTCACAGGCATCTCTTTGAGGACTAACACCTCTATTCCCGTGCTTAGAAACATCAAAATTTTGATGGAGCACAGCTGCTTTTTGGTTGATGATTTTATTGAAACAAATAAGAATTTCTTACATAGTAGGCTTTTGTTCACATAGATCATTAAATATAAAGAATGTTTTAATTGAATGCTTGGGAGATTTGTATTTCTATGGTATTGGCTAATGCCTATGTGGTTTCTAAATATTCTTCAATTATACTTTTATTATTAAAATATGCCATGTTACTTATAATCAAAGCCAAATATTTTAAATTGATATAATTGTATTTTACAACTAATATCTTACATGCTTTCTAGCTTTAATAATCTATCTTTTTCTTTCTTCAGGGTGCAACCTTGACATTTTTGAGCTCTGATCATCCAAGTCTTCCACAAAGCATAAAAAAAAATACATTACTTAGATTTCGAATCACAAATGTTGACCAAATAGCTTTGGATTCTGTGAAGTAAGTCAAATATGCAGTTATCAGTTTGAAAGTGAGTGAAAACAACATTTTTATTTTGTAGTGAGACTATAATAAAACAATTAGATTTTTTGCTAGTTCCATGATTGGGATTTGTTTGACTTTTATAATGTTCCAACTCTGCACATCTTTTTGGGTTTGGAACAGGGAATAGTTACAGCTTCTAGAGTGAAAGCTGTAAAGTAAACTTTATATATATATATATATATATATATATATATATATAATCAATGTGGACATAAAATCTATTGTGTTCATGGTACATGAAGAAGATATAATCTAAAAAGTGAACACACAATTTGAAAGCATAGCTATTTCTACTTTATGTAGCACTTTGTGCTTAAATACATTCCATATGTGTGAGAACAGTTATAATCAATTATCCATTTAAAATATCCAACTTTGTGTGAAACATAACATCAATTTGTTCTTGTGTAGTATTTTTATTTTACCAAGTGCTGTCAAAGATTTAAATTTTAAAATATGAGATAACAGTAGAACATTATAAAATTTTCTTGTATTTTTGTATTTTTTTAGCATGAAAAGTCTTGGGTATCATATGCTTATAATATGCATTGACTGATGAAAAATAATAGTTAAACATAATACTATGACAAAAAAATGATTTTGAATGATTTTTGAGTTTTTAAATTGCACATATACACATACTCTTTTTTTGAGACAGGGTCTTGCTATATTATTTAGGCTGGCCTTGAATTTACTACATAGCTCAGGCTGGCCTCAACTCTTGGTGATCCTCTTGCCTCAGTCTCTCCAGTGCTGTATTATAGGCCAGTAGGCCTGGCCACAAACACATTCTTTTTGATGAATGTTTATTGATAATAAATACAGTAAAACTTGTTTCTATATGTGAATTAGGGGATATATCCCATGGATTGGCTATAAGCAAATCAATGTTTGGTTATTATTTATTACATTTCTAAAAATGAATGCATGGGGTAAAATAACATTTTTAACTTTTATGATTTACACAGTAAAGCTGCTTTTAAATTTAGTTGTTTTAATTAAATATTTAAAAGAACATTGAAGGAGCTGTAAAAATGAATACATTCAGAGGTAGTTTTAAAGCATTTTAAAGCAGCTTCTCCTGGAATCAAAGCAACAAACACAATTTGCATTTGATTAATTTTTATACTCTTCCAACTCTGAGTATTTCTTTGGGATTGGGACAGAGAATAGAGATTCAATACTGAAGATTGTAAAGCAGAATGTATAGTCTATATAGCCTACTTTACAATCATCGATATATACATAAATACTTTTTAAAAATCAGTGTGGACATGTCAATTACAGAACTGTATCCATGGCACATGAGGAAGATATTCAAGAAGCCAATGATAGGCTGGTCTTCAAGGCTATTCAAGGTACATGTTTTTGCTTCTCTCAAGAGCTCATTTTCAACTGTTTTCTTTCTTTCTTTCTATCTTTTTGAGACAAAGTTTCACTATACAGTTCAGGTGAGCCTTGAACTCACAGCAGTCCTCCTGCCTCAGCTTCCCAAATACTGGGATTCGAGGTATGCACCACTACACCCAACTTCAACTATTTTCATTATAATTCATTAAAGCAGTATTTTCAAGCTGCTTCTCAGTTTTACAGCTTTTGGTTTCTATTTCCTATTAGATTTTTAAAGTTGATATATTTATTAATTTCCTAAAAAATATTTTAGGGTTTCTCCTACATTTAATGATCCTAACTGAATAATATTATATGAATGCAAGAATTTTAGAAAATACTATGTATTCGAATAGAAGCTTTTACTTGTAAACTGAGTAAAGGTAAATTTAATTTTTCTAATATAGTTGTCATATGCATTAGGTGATGTCCCAGAGACTTGTGATGGTTTAGGGTAAAAGAAAAAGTTTTTGGCTGGGATGCCTGTAGTTCATGTTTGTACTCAGTTACTGATCAGACACATGGTTTTGTGAGAATCCCTTGTGCTTCTTCATCTCTAAACTGAACATGATAAATGAGATATGTGTACATGCTGGAGACCACAAAGTTTTAAAAATTTTAACTTTAAAGTACAGTCTTTTTTTTTTTTTTTTTTTTTTTGTCTTTTTCGTTTTTATCGGTACCAGGGATCGAACTCACGACTGCCTGCTTGCAAGGCAGGTGCTTATGCCGCTGAGCTAAATCCCCAGCCCCTAAAGTACAGTCTTACAACCACTGCTGTATCTAGCACAAGAGGTAATTCCTTTGTTAGATCTCAGTGTAGAAGAGACAAACATGTTAAACCATCTCAAAAGCAATATATACTTTATGGATTTTGATGATTCCTGAGAAATATTTTAAATAAAAAGGGTTTGCTTAAAAATAAGTATTTTAAACAAGCTCCAAAAATATGAAATTGGAGAGGCTAGAAGCAGATATGATGGTTGGGATTGATATTTGAACTGATATTGTTGATGTCATTTTTAAGACTTTTCTGTTTTATCATGGTTAATACAGTTCTCATCACTACTGAATCTGGTGACCTTTCTCTCTAATGGAATAAGTTTACTTTCTGCTTTAGAGTTTATTTTCTTAAATATGGTATGAACTGCATTCAGTAAAATAACAGAAGTACAACAGAGCACATGACCTATGTATTTATGGAAGGAAAGGTTACTCTATACAAGTGTAGGGTAGTACGCCACACTTTGATGCTATTTAACAGAGAAGTTGAAATTTGAGGAGTGCAGGCTATTTAAAACTTTTAAAAATCATAGTTTTAAGTGGCTTGTCTGCCATTCATTTGTGATTTACTAACAATAAAGGAAGAGAAAAGAGAGTGAATATGAGCTATGGTTAAAATATAGATGTCTAAATACACAACTAAGGCTTTATTTGTAACATTTAGGTTATTCTTTTGCTAAGAGAAATATTATTTTCTTGTATACAACACTTTGACCACACAGTGGTGCTATAGTTCTGGTATATTTATGTGGAACTTAACACGCTGTACAACCCTCTATTAAAAAATCCAATTTTCCAAAGTCATCTGTCAGTCACACTTGGGATTTGGTTGAATATTAACAACCTTTATTTGCATTACAGTAGTTTTCATTTCCTTGTAGGAGAGCCGATTGCAATTTGATGCTTCTGTGTCCAGGGAGAATAACTTTACTTCTCTCTTTTTGTTAAACAGACGCACTAAAAGAAAAACTGCAGAAAAGAGGGGTTCGAATTTTGACTGGATTGGAAAAATTCTTTCAACAGTTGGACAAGGACGGACATGGACTTTTAAATAAGACAGATTTTAAGCAAGCTTTAAAAATATTTCATTTAGAAGTATCTGAAAAGGTATAGAGCACAGAAAATGTTCTGCCGTGAATAATGCATTACTCTAAGGTGGCATTACTCAGTTTGCACTGAAGTTTTAGAGGCAGTTTATCTCATTTATGACCTGCCACCAGTATTAAGTTACCAGGCTGCGGGTCTCGATTTTAAGCATTTCAGCATTCATTTGTCTTTCACATATTTATTTAAGCTTTTAAAATTTTTATTTCTGTTTTATTAGTTTATGTTTGTGAAACATAATGCATTTATCACGGGTCATTGATACTTACACATGTTGCATCTTGGTCCTTTTCACTTCATGTTTGCCTTCCGTTCCACTATTCTCCTCCTCTTCTAAACCCCTTCTTATTTCCACAAAGACCACTTTTTGTTTATTATCATCTTTCTTTTTACTTTACTCTTTTATGCATTGGATATCTCGTGTTAAAGAAGCTGTGTGATGATTAACTTTCCATATCTGATTTATTTCACTGAGCGTTATGACTCAAGATGCAGTCGTTTTCCTCCAAATGACTCAACCTTGTCATATATTTATTACAAATTTAATATCTAGCCATTGTGCTAAGTTTGAGAATATGCACACTACTCTTATGGTCTTATAATTTTTAAAAATTGATTATAAAATAATATTTGTGTTAAGTAGTGCATGTTTTGGGAACACATGGGACGGTACCTAACTCCAAGTTAGGCTATAGGGACGGAGAGGGAAGATCATAGAAGGATGATGCCTCAGGAGGATACATTCAGGCTGAGTTTTGAAGAATGGGAAGAATTACCACAGACAATTGACATTTTATGAAAAAGAGAAGCACATGAAGGTATGGATCATGTGGCTTATTTCCCTATGTGCAAATGTTCCTCTTCACATGTTCTGTTCCCATGATGTGAACAATCTTCTATTAGATCTTTACATGCTAGATTTTCTCTTTCAATCACAACCTTCTATTACTGTCACACCTCTCTCTAAGAGAACACCACAGTTTGATCTCTGAGCCTTTCTATATCAGTTTCACATTTCAATTTCTTCATGCCAGTTTCTGTTTGTTGGCTCTGCTGGCCAGTAAAATGTTAAGTCGCATCAGAAAGGGACAAAGGTGCTTCTGGTTTTCTGCTCTTCCTCTAGCCCTTGAAATTGAACCTGGAATATGGCAAGTGCAGAATAAATAGTGCATCAATCTGAATGGATAAATGTGTGGAAGCAATGGAAACAGCATGGTGGAAAGTAGACCTGGTATACTGAAGGCTTGCATGCCAGGCAGGAAATTTGCAGTGCATTCAGAAAGAGCATGAATTTGGTTCATAGCAAGAGTTTCAGATAAAGAATTCTTTTGCACTGTTCTCTTTTACTTAAAATGGTCTTGTCACAGGGTATAATGTACTGGGTGGATGAAATATTTGAAATTATATTTTTGAGATTTCAAATTAAGTTTTAACTTTGTTATTTTTACTATGTGGTCTTAGATAAGTCTTTTAATTTTTCTGATGATAGGCTCTGCCTGAGTAATTCTGAAATAATCACTATTGTCAGAGTTGTTTGGAAGCTCAAGTTGATAGGGAGATGCCCTACCAACTGTAAATTTCTGTGCCTGTATGATACTGTTTATCACGTTTGTGAAACATTGTCCTTTGGGTTTCATGACACTTACACGTATGCCTCACGTTAGGGACCTTTGTCTCATTCTTTCCTGGGTAAACAGTAGCAGCAACAGGAAATTTGAGAGCCTTGATGTCTTTATTGGCAATCACAGAAAGGTAATCAATAACTAATAGAAAACTAAGGCCCAGATAACCTTGCTTCAATTGTCCTGCCCTTCCTCAGTGCAGTGCTTTGCTTTTGGTAGTTTGCTAAATGTTTTTGATTAGGTTGATGAATAAAATTACAATAATTGTATGAAACTTCTAACATAGTGATACCTTTTATATAACCATATGCTAAAGCTTCCCCCTTTCTCATACATTTTAAGAAAAATTCATGTTTTGTTTTCTGGTTTTTCATCACTGAAAACTGTTTATGTCCTGGTAAACACAAGGGGAGGAAGAGTAAGGTTTTAAGAATCATTAACCAACGTCTGGCTGGAACTAGAGAATATTTGTAGTAACATATCGTCATTTTCCTTGATTTTTTTTTTTTTTTTTTTTTTTTTTTGGTACCAGGGTTTGAACTTATGACCTTGTGTTTGCCAAGTAGGCACTTATACTGCTGAGCTAAACCCCCGGACCCTTATTTCCCCCGATTTGAAATATAAAATTTATGTGTTCCAAAAAGCCTGATTTATATAGAAATATTATCAATGAATTACTAACTTTTTAATCAAATGTTTTTATTTTGTATCATATCTACATTTATATAAATTGTTACTACTTATGTAAAATTACTCAACTCTTAAAAGTAACTTCTTTTAAACTTTAAAAAGTCTTTTAATTTTAGTATTCCTTGAGTTGGATGAGCAAATCTATCTTTGGTCCATATTACTCATATTTTTAAAGGTCAAGCTCATTTTCAATTTGACTGCACAGACAGTTTAAATTGTCTTATTGTATAGGGATTTATGCAAGACAAAAAAGTATGGATTGTTGAGAATTAAAAAGAGACAGAACATTGTGAAATACAGTTTTTGTAATTGGAGTTTTATTTGAAAAGCAGAGGAGATAAAATAGAATATTTGTTGAGTACCTATTTGTCAAGCACCTTGCTAGGTGTCTTATTTACATTCTCATTGAAAGCTAACAACTTGATTCAAGCACTGGAAATGTATTTGAGTTTAAAAAAACAAACCGCAATATCTTTGTTGTTAAGAACGCTGTGAATAGAGTATTCTATGAAATAGTACCTTTGCCAAAGAAGTAAACAATCATGGCAAAGTGAATGAAGTGACATAAAGGTTTAACTCAAAATTATACCTTCCAGTGTAAATTATAGAATAGTATTAGAGTATTCAAATCTATACTTTCAAGCATGAAGACTAGTTAAATACAGTTAGTGGTCACAATGCCATTGGAAATATTTCAGAATCTGAAATGCTTTTGAATTGCCACAGATATAGTATATTTAATGAAATATTCAAAAAAGTAGCTATTTTTTTGGTACATAGAAATTGAATTTAAAGGGACAGATTTGCCGTTAGAGCATAGCTGGGTTGCAGAGGTAGGAGTGGGAGGGGACTCGTGGTAGTGATGTCAAGGGCAATATAAAGGGAGAGACATCAGTCAGAGTACAAAGTTTCATAGACAGGCAGGCTGAGTTCTAATGATCTATATCATTGTGCAGCATAATGACTGTAGTTAATACTACTGTACTGTACATTTCAAAGTAGCTAAAAAGAGATTTTAAATATTCTCACCACAAAGAGGTGATAAATATTGAAGGTGATGATTGTTAGTCTTATTTAATCATTCCACAGTGTACACATGTATTCAGACACACATTGTCTCTATAAATGCAATTAATAATAATATTGCCAGTAAATAATAAAATAAATTTAAAAACTTTGTGAGGCATTGCCACTACTAACTGGTTCTGTTTTCAAAGTTTATTAGAAATGTTCACAGTACACTATTTGTACATTCATCTCAGGGAGTGTACATAACTGATTAGAGAATTGTTCACCTCCGAGTTGATTTAAATAATTTTTACTTGGGTTTCATTGGGTTTATTGTAGTTTAAAAAAATTTTTTTTGTTATTGAACCACTTGATCTAGTCCCACATGACTAAGATTTTCTTGTGGCCTTATGTGACTTAACGATGTAATAACCATGTTGACTACTTCTAGGATTTTGAGTCTTCATGGGTCATTCTGAATGGCGATGGCAATGGAAAGGACAGAGTTGATTATGGAGAATTCAGACGTGCCCTTCTTGGTGAAATGAATGAATACAGGAAATCATTTGTTCGAAAGGTAACTGCTAAATAATCTTTTAAATTGTTACTTTTCAAAGCCATTCCCCCACATAAGCAACCAACTGATCTGGAGAAACACAGGCTGAGATGATAGCTATTGGAGAAAAATACAATTTAATTCTTGTGGTGTTTAGTGTTTCATTGACTTTGCCAGCCTCAAGTTGGTAGTCTGATCATCTATTTAGTACATAACAATACACAATAATAGCATCTGTGGGGAATCTCCTTCTGAAGGTGGCAGCCATTGTTAATCCCTATTATCTTGTTTTAAAGTCTTACATCGTTTTCATTGTTTGGTTTGGTTTGGTTTTATTCTGTTTTGCCTTGTTTGATTTTATTATATCTGATAGTTTGGGTACCTATTTCAAAGATAACATAATATAGTAACCATTTTGGATTTACTATTATCTTGTTTTAAAGTCCTGTATTACATTCATTGTTTTGTTTTTATTTGTTCTATTCTGTTCTCTTTTGTTTGATTTTACCATGTCAAATGGTATGGGCAGCTATTTTGAAGATAACAAGAGACATTATGGTAACCATTGGTGATTTCCTATTATCTTGGCTTGAAATTCTGTATCACATTGTTTGGTTTTATTTTATTTGGTTTATTCTCTTTAAAATTAAAAATTAAAAAAATAATTACTTTTAAAAACATAAATAAATTATCATTTAAAATGTGTTTCATTATTTTACCTGTAATGCAGGTAATGAACATATGCATATAAACTTATCCAGAATAAAAGAATATAACTTATGTATAAGTTTTAGAAAAATACATAAAAGGAAAATAAAATTTGATATCAAATTTTATTCATCAATTAATAGCTTTACAAATGTAATGAAATAGCCTCAATCCTCAGTTTCCTGTCCCCTAGAGTTGATGTGAGGATTGAATGAAATAAAGTTCTTAGTATTATGACTGATCCAGTGTGAATATTCAAAATGTGATAATGAAGGTCACAATAATCATGATAAATTGGAATTAAAACTAGGACCTTGATTTTTATAGAAAACTGCATTTTTACTTGGATTCTGAAGGCTATTTTTACAGTAACATTTGAACAATACAGCACTGTTTTTCTTTTGAGGATAGAAATCATATAAAATATATATGCAACTACTATTAAAACAAAATATTCTGTAAACAGGGGTATAATTGTGTCAAATATAAGCATCTAACAGAAAAATTAAAATCTCTATCTTTGTTGACCAAAATATACAATTAAACCTGAAATAAATTCACCAAATGTACTTTTTTGTATTTTACATGTACTGGTTTAGGTTTGAAAATCAGAAATAGAAAATGGATTTTTTGTTTTGTTTTGTTTTTCCTATATTTTGGTCCTGGGAATAGGGCCAGATATGGTGGTGCATGTCAATAATCTCAGCTCTTAGGGAAGCTGAGGCAGGCCCCAAATTTCAGCTCAGACTAGGCAAGTTAGCCAATTAGTGAGACTGTCTCAAAAGAAATGATAATGAAAGAAGAGTTGAGGATGTAATTCAGTGCAAAGGCCTGGGCTTAAAAAGAGTAGAAGGAGTGAAGTAAAGAAGGGAATTTCTTTCTTTGCTAGAGCTGTCATAACAAAATTATCACAGACCATGTTATGAAAACAACAGAAACTTATCCCAGTTTGCAGGCTAGAGGTCAAAGGGGAAGAGGTGTCTTTTCTCTCATTACTGGGATAAAATACCCAACACCCAAAATTAAGAAAGGAAAAGTTTATTTAGCTCACAGTTTGTGGAGGTTTCAGTCCATAATCTCCAAGGCAGGGTGGTGCAGCAGAAAATAGCAAAAACAGCAAGAGCAAAAAGAGGAGAAGAGCAAACCTCTTTTCCTCCCTATTACTGGAAGCAAGCCAGCCCCTCTATGACTGGGGCAGCGCTCACACCAGCTCCATGCTCTCCTCTTGCATAGCTCAGGAGGTTTACAAAAGTGAAGATCCTGGCCCCTTGCTGAGTCCTTTGTTAAACTTCTAAGCTTTCTCTTTTATCTGAAGAAGGCTGTACATTTTCACTATTTTCACACTGTTGTCTCTCTCTTTATGTTGTTTGTGTCCTACTTTTTTTTTTTTTTAAATCAAAGCACTAGTCATATATTGGATTAGGGCCATTTTAACTTAATTACCATTTAAACAACTCTGCTTCCAAGCATAGTCACATTCTGAGATAGTTTTTGGGATGGTAGACACAATTCATTCTACAAGTGTGAGGTTCCTTTTGAGCTCAGTATTGTGAATAAACTCGATTCTGTTTTCTACTCTTCTTCAATGTGGGACGTTGCTTTAGGTAACTTGTGTGATTCTATATACTTCAGCATCTTTGCAATGAGATATTTTATGATACTCAGTTGCACTAAATATTTCTGAAAGTAATGTTAAATTTTAAGAAATACACTCATTCTAAAAGCATTTAATTTTTTCATTGATTTTACTGGTGAAATATTTGCCAGCTCATATTTGAGATATAATTTCCTACTGGCAATTTGCTTTGGTCATTTGTCAGTTTTGTGAATCACTGAGCTACGTTACCAGAAAGCTCTATTATATATATCTCTTCAGGGCAACAGAGTTTAGGTTCCATTCTCAAGGTTATGGTTCTCTCATACACTACTGTCATGAATGTAGTTCAGAAACAACCTACTGCAAAATAGAAAATTAGGTTCTCATGTCTAATGATTTAATATAAAATACTATTTTTCTCTTTAGGCCTTTATGAAACTAGATTTCAGCAAAACTGGGATCGTGCCTATTACAGACATAAGGAAATGTTATTGTGCAAAGAAGCACCCTCAGGTTATTTCAGGTAACTGTTACCAGATTTCTAAAGTATTACTTAATAAAAGTATAATCTTTGAATACAATTTAAAGCATAAACTGAGGATATTAAGGTGTTTGACATAGAAACTTGAGAACAATTTGCTGTTCTTCATTGAAAACTTCTCAGGCTTATCGCCTGTACTTATTTATTTCTTCAATATTTGTATTTGAGATAAAACTCTATGTCTCCCTTAGAGTGCAGTGAAGAATTTGTTAAAAGAACAGGAGAGATTTAGAGAACAGATGCTTGCATGTACAGTTTCTCAGCATCAATTCTATTGCATCTGCTTGTATAGTTATCCACACTGGAGAATTTATTACTGAGCAAGCAAGTGCCTTTATTTAGGGATGGATTTACATATGCAATGGGCATATATATTTCTATCAAAATTTTGGGATACAGTAAATTTCTAAAGTAATTCTAGATATCTATTTCCTATTATAGTTCTTCTGGCTTTGTTTTTAAATAATTAATTTATAAATGCATTCTTGTTACAAAGAAAGCTTTTGACCACCCTAACCCCTACTTTTCATTACATTGTTCCCCAGAGAAGTAAAAACCACTATCATTTAATACATATATGGTACCTCGGTTTACAAACTTAATTTGTTTCACAATTCTGGAAAAGTTGATAGCAGCACCTCATGCAAAATTTGCAAAGAAAAACGAAGTTTTGCTAAATGCTCTTTTTTATGAAATAAATTAATAAATAAAATTGTTAATAAAAGTGTTAATGACTATTTTGGACCTTATTCTATGATTTTTTTTCATAGTTGTATACATGCTATAATAATCTAATACTTTTTGGAGTATTTTTGGACATGAAAGATGTATTTAACTTACTGTTATCTAGACTTTTTACAATCAATGCTATGTTTCAGAACTATTTCTGTGTTAATCCTCGTTGGGCCACCTTAGTTTTGTATGTTGCATATTATTCCTTTCACAAATCACTGGACTACAGTTTATAGAGTCATTCTTTATTCTTGACCTTTTAATTTCTAATTATTGATGTACAACCAATGAAGCAATATATATGCTTATTTGTGACCCCTTATGTTCATTTTCTTCTGGTTGTCAGGAGAGATGTCAATTCCTAGAATTACTGAGATATTTATATTGTAAGTTTTAGTGGATATTTACAAATTATGTTGGAAGATGTCCACATAGATTGTGCTGTCCTTAGTTGCGGATTTTTTTTCTTTCATAAGTTTGCCAACAATTTAACCTTTTGTCAGTCTGACAGATGAAAAAAACATTTTATTTGTATTTCTCTGGTTACTAGTGGAGTAAAACATTTTCATATATTTATTGAGCATTTTGTCTATTGTAGATATTTATTGACCATCTTTTATGAATATCTTTTAATCTGTAGTTTTAATAATATTCTATTGATGTAGAATACTATTACTTGAAGATTTTAATTCAGTAGTAAGGGATATCCTGTAATAACTTCAATTTCTTATTAACTTTTATATATATTTATAGTTTTATTTGGGAAGTTAAAAATAGAAGTATTTTTGAAAATTAAAGTTAACCATTATTAGCTTCTAAATTTATAATCCTTTTAGGTCAAAATAATTTTATTTTTTTATCAAAACTAACTAACAATATAGAAAAAATAATTTCTAGTGGTACTTAAGAGTTGTTAGTATATTTTTTATCTTTTAAACATCTGGTAGTCTCTGCTTCTTTGTCTTTAGTATACCAAATTTATGTCTTATATAAGAACAAAATAGTTTACTCATTTCAAAACTAGATAGTTTCACCTTGTGTATATTTTACTTTTGATCTTTTTAAACTACTTAAGCTATCTTTAATAGGTAGTTTAAATAGCTTCAGGTTTATTTTGTGTCACTGAATTGTAGATGCAAGAGGGTTTTGCTTTTGTGTTTGTTGAGTAAACTTTCGTTATTTAAAAAAATTCATGCTTTGTCTTTGCAGTCATGTTAAGGAGTACTCTATAGCAAACTAAACACTTAGAGACAAAAATTTATTGTTTTTTAACAAGAAAAACTCTACTGTCATTATAAATTATAACTTATTCACTTACTCATCTTTGGGGTGTAACTTGTTTACAATTCACAGTTAATTTTAAATTGAGGCTCTTAAACTACACCTGATTCGATCTATAGGAAATGTTCTTTTTTTTTGCTCAAGTAATTTATTAGATAAAGATATTTTAAAGTTTAACAAAATATAATAACCAAATGTCTTTTGTGAAATGGTATTAGGAGTACTGTTGTTTACAGGGTTGGAAAAATTTAGTTATAGTTGTATTTCTAGAGAGGAGATTTCAAGGAGATACAAAGTTTTTTTAATTATTTGAAATATAAATTTAAGTAAAACTTTAAAAAATTGTGTTAAAACATATTTGTTCAAGTATATGGAAGAGAAATTTCTTGTAGCAAAATTGGTTTTCATATAAATTAGATCTCAATTAGTTTTTAGACTTCACTACATTAGTCACAAATTTATTTTATTGTTGCATATTATCATTTTTTTATTGCATAATATCTAGTCTTTCTTCATTCAGCTGGTTTTTTTAAATAAAACATTCATTTTGTTTGCTATTTCTTGTATGTGTTTTTAAAAGACCATTATTTCTTTAGGATGAAATGCACTTTCTAGTGTTTTATTATCTATGTCTGTTAATGAATTTCAAGTTTGTTAGAAAGATTCATCTCTTATCTTAAATTACCCAGTTTTTTAGACAAATCAATAGGGCCGTATTCCCATTTACATCTGTTCTTCAAAAGCCATCCTGAGATGGGTGTGGTGGTGCATGCCTGTGATCTCACTGCTGGGGGGGTTCAGGGGGAGGAGCCCTCAGATTTCAAGGCTAGCCTGAACTACATGGAGAGACCATGTCTCAAAAAACAAACCAAGCCAAACTGAAATGCACCCTGACTTTAAAAAGTTTCAGAGAAGGTCACATAGATTTTTTTAAAACTGCTTTCTTACTTTATTTTAATGTATATCTCTATTTTCTTTTGAATGTTACCTGACCACCATTTGTGCCTTTCCATCTTTGAATTCATCTTTTCTTATTAAAAAGTTAGTGATTTTTTTTCTTCTATGTTCTCTGCTGAATTTCTAAGAGATGAATGTGAGAGAGGTGGGTGGGGGAAGGGAAATTATGAGCAGTTAACTCTAGTTCATGAGTAAATAAATGGAAAGTTAGTTTGATATGAGAACTTAAAATACCAAAAGGATCTCCTAAGATGAATAAGTACTCATTTATCACCACTAAGCATTTTAATCAACTTTTCTGTACTACTTCACAGGTCATTCCTCAGAGGAAGAAATCAAGTCATCTTTTCTAGAAACATTGCAAGCTGCCTGCAGCAAGGCTGATGAAGTGTCATATGGAGAATTTGAAGATTACTATGAAGGTCTCAGTTTAGGGATAGTAAAGGATGAAGATTTTGTCAACATCTTACGTACTCCTTGGGGAATTTAGTTTTTAATAATGCAGCTCTAGGCATTTTACAGAGGAGATGAATGCTATGAAATATATGATCAAACCCTAGAGTATGTTTTTTCAGAATTCTCTTTATTCTCTTTATTTTTCACAGAAAAGTTGAGTCTGGAAATGAAAATATCTAGAGTGATAAATGTAGGTGGGTGTGTACACATGCTTAGCTGTCTATAAGTTTGTAAAGATATGTATTTTTGGTTTTTACTTATTTTGAATGTATTTTAAAAATAATTTCAAATTAGATGAAAGCATATATTAATCACCTTTATTATCCTTTCACTTTTTTTTTCCTGCGGTTCTTCTCTGGAATTTATTTGCCACCACTTTCAATTTGATCAGTTGGAATTGGGCTTAAAGCCTATGAGACTGAAGTAACTCAGCTTGTTTTAAATATATAAAAGTATTAAAGTAATTAAAGGATATGCAAGAGAAATTTCCAAATTTTGTGGTTATAGATATTTTCTGTAACATTAGCATGCATAATGTAGATGGTAGAATGGTAGATTGGAATTTACCTCTATGGTACCATTTTTTTTTTTTCTTTGTACCAGGAGTCAAACTCAGGATCTTGCGCTTGCGAGGCAGACACTTGTGCTGCTGAGCGATACCCCTGGTTTACAGTGCTTTTTAGAACTGACTTGACCTGGATGTTCTTGTATTCTAAATTATGTACTGTTGTTTGTTCAGTAGATATAATTGTTTTGGAAACCAGTCATATATACATATATTTTTCAGTTTTTAAGTGTAAAACTTATCTATACAATAGAAATATCATTTGACTAGAAATAATATAGAAGAGGAAGTGTTTTATTAGATTACTAAAAAAAGCTCAAAAACAAATTATTAAATATGTTGATCTAAGAGAAAACTTAGTATTTCTTATCTAAAATATAAAAGCATATTTTGTATCATGAAATGAATAAGTGGTATTTGAAATATTTTCTCTTCATATACTAAGCAATCAAAACATTTTCTTCTCAATATATGTTGCTTAATGGCTTAGAGTATTACAATCATTTTTTCTAAATTCTGTTACTTCTTCCCAGAAAGAGAAAGAACATTATGAATTGGTTTCCAACTTTGTAATATTAATATGTAAGTTAACAAATCAGAAAAAAATATGTCGAGAAAATATTACTAGTTCAAAAAAAAGAAAATGTATTGCCAACTGTGGCTGAGCATATCACTTCATATACAATCTATACTTGGCAGAAACACGGTACATGTGAACTCATTAAACAAATCTTTCCAAGATTTTCTGAACTATTAAAATTTACTCTGAAATATCAGCAGGAAACATGTGCAACCCAGTAGTGTGATTTTTACTGGCTAAATTCTTTATTTCTTGGCCTTTTTTTAAATTAGGTTATTGAGACTAAACTGATATGCTAGAAGATGTCTTGACAGAAATAAATTTGTAACACTATTTTTAAGCCACATTTAAAAAAATTCATCCAAGTATGGACATCTTTAACTCTAAGTTTTTCTTAGAGTCTGGGTCCTCAAATATGTACAATACTTTTCAATGGTAAAATTTTAGTTTTTATTTACAGACATTTTTAATGTTGAAAATTTCTATTTTTCTGTAAATGTAATCCACAGATATGTAAGTTGTCATATTGTGAAAAACAGGAGGGTGAGGTACTTTTGAAATTTAACATGTTAATGTGACAGTGAATTCAATTTTAATCTTCACTATTTTTATACAAATATTCATGTGATTACTTGTCATTTCTCTACTTATGAAATGTAATTAACTTCTTTTAAATGAGGATTTAAAAAGCAAATAGCGCGGTTTTTGGTTTATTTTGTTAAATCAAAATTGGTGACATAATAAATCATTCTGCTTTTGATTTTTGGCTTACTGCCTGCAATTCTTTTTTGACTTAGGCATAGTAAATTATGTCAGTAGTATTTAATTTAGAAAAGAGTATTTAATAGAAATGACATTTTCAAATATTCACAACATAGGTGACTGTATTCTTAGTATTCAAGAGTCTGAAATATGAAAAACTTGAAAATATTAAATTACAGGCTGTTTATTGTTACATGGATATAGTACATGTAACACATATACATGTAGTACATGTACTACTACATGACATGAATGTAGTAGTGTAAATGGATTTTGTAGAAGTTTGGATTTTGAAAGTTACTTACTGATGTGACATAGGGTTGCTTTCCCAGATAACCATATAGTTTTTTAAATTATGTACATTTATTTTACTGTTTATATTCTTATAAATAAAGTTTTATAGAATTAAAAAAATTATTAGAAGAAAGGGGACATTATTTAGGAATTTCAGAAAATGTTTTATTGTAAAGAAGATACATTTGTATGATGGCTCATTTATAGAACAGATTAAAAAGTTCTTGCTTTATTGTATACCAGCTTAGTAAACCAATGACTTGATATCATCACCTAGGAAAATTTATAATTTGGTTACATCTATAAGCCATATATTGTTTTAATTATTACTTTTGCCTTCTATTCAGTCTAAGTTATTGTCAGTTACTTCAGGAGAGAATTATGTAGAATATTGCAGATTATTTGTGCTTTTGTAAAATTATAGTTTGCAGCGCCTGCAGAAATAAAATAGGTACCATAATAAATTGTAATCACTCCTTGGTTGTCCAAGAAAGACAAACATTTTAGTGAAAGTATTTAAAGAATTAGAAGAGACTGAGCATATGTAACACAAAGAAAATGAGAGGAGAGCAAAGAGTTAATAGGTATTGTTAATAGGAAAGTGTTAATAGGTATTGCTATATGACAATGAGAAGAAGCAAATGTCATATTTTTCTATTTTTATTTTAAAGTTACCAAAAATTCTGAGTAAGGAAAACTTATTATTTCTGAATCTGTCTCCTTCAGAGTTCTCAGTGCCTACCATTTTACATGCATATGCTCCTCCATCAACTGTCTGCTTTAATTCTATTTAAATCCATCATATATGTTGCTCTTGGAGTGATCTTTCAAAAATTAACATTACTTTTTTTTTTTTTTTTTTTTTGGTCTTTTTCCTTTTTATCAGTACTGGGGATTGAACTCACGACTGCCTTCTTGCAAGGCAGGCACTTATGCCGCTGAGCTAAATCCCCAGCCCCAACATTACTTTTTGAATAAAATTTTTTCTTGATAGTCCATATCTTTCAGAAAAGTTCAAACTCCTGAGTTAACACATAAAATCTGAATGAAATAGTCACGCTAAGCCCTTTTCCTTATGTACCATTCTAAACTACCTAGAATATCGTAACGGATTGCGATTTAAAATCTCAGTATTTTCATATGTATTCTGCTACTGTCCCCTAAAGTTATTACCTCCACTCAGTCTGTCTAAATTAATTCATACTAGTCTTGTGACAGTACCTCAAGAATAATTCATTCTAAAATGTTAAAGCCATAATCTCCTTTGAGATTCCAGTGGTTCACTGAGGGGGGCCCCTAATCGCTATGTATCGTTTTACATTATGGTCATTACCTTGCTTATGCTTCTCCTATTAGATTGTGAACTCCCAGAGAATAGTAATCACATTTTACTTACTTTTATGATCCTGAAGTCTAGTGCAGTGTCTGACGGGATAGTTATTATATCATCATGTGTAACCTGAGTGTCTTGGTTACTATCTTCTCATCACTAGAACAAAATACTCAACACACACACAACTTCTAGAAGAAGGCTTTTATTTGTGTCATGTTTTAGAAGTTTCAGTTATCAGGTGATCTACTGGTTTCTGGCAAAAGAGGCATGATTGGTTGCATGGCAGAAGGATCTGAGTAGAGGAAAGCTGCTCATGTTTTCCACAGGCCTCGCCTATGAGCACATGAGGCTTTGGGAGGGTATCTGAATATGAACCATAGCATTCTATCCCTGCTCCCCCCCCCAACTCATATGCATCTGTCTCAGTTACTCACGTGTTGTTGAAGCACTATACTTACAGAAGTTTCAGTCTGTAGTCAGCTGATTCCAAGGCAGGACAGCACAGCAAATGCTGAGAAAAAGGAGAAAAGGCTCATGGCATGCAGGCAGGTAGCAGGTTGCATCCACGGGGACTGACTTCTTCCCACCAGGCTTTGCTTTCTAGTATCGCACCCAGCTATAAAGCCATCAGTGGATTAACCTAGTGTCACACACCCATAATCCAGTATCATATAGGCATGTTCCAGTCACCTCCCCAAACCCTCACCTATGTATGCATGAGGCTTTGGGGGACATCTAGATATAGCATTATTCACCTCCCCCCAAAGATTCATGCATATCCTTTTACGCAAAATGTATTTAATTTAAGTGCTACTAGAATTTTAACAATTTCAGCATTGCTGAGAAGTCTCAGTCAGAATGTATTCCCTGAGATTTAAGGCAAACTCTTAGTTGTGAGCTTCTATAAAAATGAAAAGAAAGTTAAACAGTGTTGCAATATACAATGGCACACGTTAAACATTCCCATTCTAAAAGATATAAATAGTAGTTCAGAAAGGAATAGGATCAAAACAAGACCAAAATCTATATACATTTTTTATGTCATTTAGTCTACCTTTAGGAGTTGTCAAACAACTAACAGTTCCAGCATTGCTGAGCTCTGACTCCCATCAAGGTCAGCTCTTAGCATTCTGAAGCTGCTTCTCCAATTTACATCTCCAAACCTTTGTGAACTCCTCCCAAGAGCCAGTTCCAGTTGTTTCTAAGCCACAGATCAGGTAGCCTCACAGCAAAGACCTCACTTCTCTAGTACCAAAATCTATTTTGATTACTTCCTTGTTGCTCAGACACTGAGTGTGTAACTTATTTAGCAGCAATTATATTGTTATGGCTCTTAAATTGTAACACTTTTGTATTCAAACATTTTAGAATAGCCCATGAAAATAGTATGGATTTGCTATTTAGTGCAAGCTATATAGCTCAACTATATAGCTTGGGATCCTGTAGTCAACTATAGGAGCAGTAAATTTCCCTGACGAATTCAGATTTAGTTAGGCAGAAAAAATAAACTTTAGTGATGCAATCACAGAATGGTAAATAAACATTGTGTTTCCAATTGTTAAAAGTAAATTTTAAATGTTTTTTTTTTTTTTTTTTTTTGGCTGGGATGTAGCTTATCTGGTATATATAAAGTTTTGAGTTCAAACTCCAGCCCTTCCCCCTTGATTTTAACCACAGAAAATATGTGAAGTGGTGGATTGTTTATTAGCTTGATATGGTCATTCTTCATGAAAATATCATGATTCATCCTGCAAATACATATTATTTATCAAGTACAAATAAAATTTAAGAATGCACAAACTGGGTCTTCATTAGCATTTTTGTAGCAAATTCACTCTGTTTAGAGAGGACTATGCTGATTTCAATTGGACCTCTAAGCATAACGGATTTTATCCATGAGAATACTGTCTTGTTAGATTCCTAAATGATTTGGGTCCATTTGTTGATTAGAACAATTTCTGGTTGCCAAGATAACAATAATGCAACCAGCTCTATCCCTGGAATGTTGCTGCTGCCTCCTGCCGGGAGCCTGTCATGCACAGTGGTGTATGAACTTCCAAAGGGACAAACCCCTAGGGTTTCACTTAGCTTGCTCAACAAATTGCATAAACTTTTAATGCCTTTTTTTGGGGTGAGGAAATGCTTAATAATTATATTTATGCAGAATTTGGTCTGCAATTTTATGTCATTATAACCTTACAGTGAAGGAAAAGTGGTTAATTCTTATCTATCTCAGATTTTTGGAGGAAGAGCCATGGTTAACTGCAAATGAATCCTACTACTTGTACGTGACTAAACTGTGTTAAACCTGTTCATAACTGCAGCTCTCTACAATAGCATCACATATCAGAGAGTGTCCAAAGTAGTAGAGTTAAAGACTCAAACACCTCTAGCCCACACTAACATCAACATAAACTAGCCACAGCTGAGCATGGAAGGCCTGTGTGTGTCTCTCTGGAGGTGTAATCATAATTCAGTACTCTGCAAAACATATGCTCTATCAAGGTATTGTTTAAGGTAGGAATAAATGTGTTTTATGTAACATTTTACATAAATTACAGATGTATTAATTTTTTGATTTCCCTTTTATACCTCTTAAAAGCTAGTTTATATTTTTTGAATATTCAAGAAAGAATCAATAGGTTTGAATATTCAAGTAAGATATTTGGAAGTATTTGAAACAAACTCCCTGTTGCTTTTGTCTTTTCTTTTTATCAAGTTAGAATGGCCCTTCCCTGTAGCCATGACTATGTGAGTTTAGATACAAACAGATTTTCACCTTTTCAACTCTATGTTGAATTTCCTGAGATTTTTAGATGATGGTAAAGCCAATACAAAACAAATGACTATATTTCAAAGAAATCACCATGTGTCGCACTCTGAAGGCCATACGTTTACCTGGCAGTTGAAGTCTTTTGTAGAAAAACCTTTTAGAAAATATAGGTTGTCAAGGAAAGGTAATTTTGAAGAAACATACAGATGATTGCTCCATCAAGAAAAAGCAGGTGCTTGTACTAATATTTGATTATAACAGATACTGTGACAAGAACACAAGTTTTGCAATCTCTAAACTCTGGTGTCAGACTCAAGCATTCCTACAAAGTAGCTGTATGACTCTGGGAAATGTTACCAGAATGTCAGGGGTTCACCCTGGTCTAAGTGTTGTTTTTATGAAATGGTCTTGGCCCTTAGACCTTTTCTGGGAAGATTTGTGGAGATGTCTGTAAATAGAAGTAGAAGCCAAACAATAAATAGTTTAAAGCATTTTATTAAGCAACTATTGGACAATCTTATGAGAGGACAATG